TTATCCATGTTCTATCTCTTCATCGGCTCAGAGAGAGAGACAGAGAGATAGAGAGAGAGAGAGAGAGAAAACAAAAAGAAAGAGGGAGAGACAGGGAGAGAGAGAGAGCTAGCTCGTTTATGCCCTGATTAGATTGTGAAACCCGGCTTTCCAAAAACTCAAAAAGTGAGAGGTCTTAGGTGAATAGGGTTGTTTGTTTGGGGGTGTTTGGTGGAACATCCCTTAGTGATAAGGGAGCTTTCGTGACGTGCGACGGCTATTTGAGGGGCGTTGCCCAAGGCTTCCCACCAGGAGTTTGGGTCTTGTGTCCCATTCAAAGTGGCCAGCCCGCAAAAACTGCTGGGCATGTTTGGGATGCTGCAAGTTCAAAAGGAGCTCTTCACAGGTCTTGCAGGTGCTTTAGTTTTGCCACGTTGGGCCCAGATCGCAGATATGTCCAGCTACAGGTATCCCACAATTGTGCGTAACGGGTGGTTCCCTTTACACGCCCTGGCTCGTAGGACACAAATACTGCCCTGCTATGGCTCGAGATCGAGGAGGTCATTCAGGCCCCGGCCGAGAGGAGTAACATCAAGGTAGGGTCGGTAAGCGAGAGGCCCTTTTGGATTCCTTGGGGCGCCTTAGCGTAGGTCCTGCCCGAAAATTCCCACACCCCAAAAAGCAATACCAAAGGTGGCTGTGTGACCAATCGTGCACCAGTTTGGCTACTTGCCGCCGCCAAATGGCAAGTGTGGGATGCAAGCTGGCCTTAAAGAACCGCGCAGGAGAGCAAGCGGTCAATGGACGATGAGAGGAGGCGGGCAGAAATGGTGCAATGATAATTCGTATGCGGTTGTCCCAAAAAAAGTGGACCCTCCCACCCCAAACAAAAAGGATTGGGTTCTTATTACTTTCCTCTATAACTAGTCCACAAAAGATCCCTTGGCCTGTTCATTTTCAAGAGCCAAAGAAGTAATTATCAATAATAATTACTCCCGTGTCGGGGATCATGACTTCATGATTTCTTCCCTTCTCTTCAGCTGAGAAAATGTGAACGCACGTTTCCCTGCATGTTTTTCAATCACTCAGCTGACTCGGCCACAGTTTTCAACTCATTTATTTCCCTTTTCCACCAGGAAAGGGAAGAGGACCGCAGCCGTGGCCTCGATGCGTGGGGCGCGTGGGCGGGTTTTCTGGAGGAAGCAGCTTATTTTTGAGTGGTTGGGTTTTATAAGAGAAAGCCACATGGCTGTGGGTCAAAACCAATGGCACCATTTTTTGGGTAGGTGCGCCACCCATTTTAGAACCGATTTTAGTGAGGATTGGGATGTTCACTGGGGGTACGGAATATTGACCCATGGCCACATGGGGTGGGTCGCTGGGAAAATCATCTTGGTAGGCAACCACGGAAGCCAGCATATAAAACCTAGAGGTGAGGATCCCTGGTTAAATGGAAGAACTGGGCGATTTTTGCAGCCCAAAGTTTCGAGTGTCAATGTATCCAGCTCACTTGTTCGGTTCCTGAGGGCGGTCTATAGCTGGGTGGCTACAAAACAATGACCAAACCACGAGGTAGAGACATATGGGTGGCTGGTCTTTTCTGAGTTCTTACCCCCTTTTCGTGGTTTAAATGGGAAGCCAACAAAAGGAACACCGAACTCCATGTTTGGGGGTTCAAATCCATAAAAAGACAAAAGGGACAAGCCGCCCATATGATATGGGGTGTTTAACACCTTCTCTTAGTGTTAGACTCTTCAACCACAGGCAAATTGTTTAGGTACCCTCCCGCCCGTTGACGTCTGGTTTGGAGCATTTTCCTTTTAGAGGGACCGGGTCCTGAACGTCAGGTTCCAAATGAATGGGTGGGAGAGAAACCCGCCGGCGATTTGCATTGGCTTGGCCCCCGGCTTAGAGTCATGGCAAGCCAAGGCTTCACCATTAAAAGCAGGGGGCTGTGGCTCAAAAAACCGGTACCAAAATCAAGCCTGGGAAGTGGAAACATGGAGCAAAACCTGCGTAACCCCTCCTCTTGAATTTTGAGCCACACCCAGGGAAGCTGACAAGTGTTCATCCTTCTTCCAGGGATTCCAGGGTCTTCGGAGCAACCGTGTCATAAAGAAGCACCCTACGAGAAATTGGGGCTTGATGGTTACTTACGCGTAGCAGGTGCTCAATCTTGGGGTGTCAAGGATTCTACATGGGTTTGATATTGATGGGTGCCACACTCAAGTTACTAGCTAAGTCTCCTGGTGTGTCATGGTTATTGCCACTTAGCTCATACACCCTCACAAATGAATTTCCAGTTATTTGTTATGTTATTGTATTTACGTGTTTTTTTTAGTAAGCTTCAAGCCTCCGAGCCGAACCGCCGCGGTTCGGCGTTGGTAAAGTAGGAGTTTTCCTTCACACCATGTATCGCATGGGGGACTAAAGAAGGTTTATCTAGAGATGATAGAAATGTGTCAGTTTTCCATCGACCAGTTTTCCTTGTCACCATATCTAATTAAGTTTAAGGAAGACCAGATATGAGCCAGAATCTGAGAGGGCTCTTGCTGTGCCAAGGTGTGTGGATCTGCCAATAGGGAACCGGCTGTGTCTTTCAAAGGGTGGTTATCTTGGTTACGGTTTGACAGCAGCAGTTGCTTGGATCTTTAGACGTCAGACTTTTCGGGGCATGATGTCTTGCTACCAAACAGCAAACAGCTCCTCATTTTTGTACAGGAGGGTTGACCCATCCATCAAAATGGCTGGGAGTTTTAACATGGGGAACTTTTGTTTGGGTCTTTGCGACTCGCTGAGTGCAACTAAGTGCGCGGGGGTGTTCTTGTTGCGGGGGGGCCTGACGTCAGGCCTCAAATGTTGGGAACAACTGAGGGGTTGGACCATGTCCACAAAGTCGGACATGAAATTTCAGTCGAGTCCCTCTGGGTTCCAACTCCCAGACCTTGGAGCTGGAAAGCGCAGCTGGGCGCCCATGGGATGCGATCGTTGGTGAAACCCATGAAGCCCATGGAGCATGGGACGTATGTGGCCCATGGAGCGATGTGGCAAAACTCGTCAAGAGAGGGTGCGAAAGCCAGTGGGTTTTCGACTTCCCCCTCATAGTGGAATACAACCTAACCTGACAAAAATGCCCTTGCAATGTCTGATCTAGTAGGTTTTTCTCCAGCCCTGACTTAGTTGGGTTGTAGTCAGGCATGTATAGTCTTGATAGCCTTGGTAGAAGCAAACGTTAATAGGTTTCGGGCACTGCTCACGTGTTTTTGTTTGAGGGAACCTCACATGCGGGGCCCGATCTTCCTTTGGTTGCCGTTTAAACACCCAACGAGTACATCAGAGCACATCAACAGGTAGGGTATGTTGACCCCCCCCGATGGAAGTTTTATTGCAAACCCGGTTCTAGTCTAGACCGAAACGTCATGTTTGCCGGCAACTTCGCCATCCAGAGTGGTGTGTTGTGCAATTGTGTGTGTGTGAGTGTGTTAGCTGCTGTTTTTTTTTTTGGGGGGGGGGGGTTGTCCAAACCAACCTCATGTCCTGAAACATGGTTTTTCCCCACACCGCGGCCCGTCTCTGCATACTTGGCAGGTTTTACTTCAGGACTTGGGTAAATCAACAGGCTTGAGCCGCTTCGTCCTGGTATCATTGCTCTTCCGTGTGGATGGAGATTCCACGGGTGCGACCGCCGTCTTGCAAGGACTAGTCCACATCTGGTCATTCGAGGGTTTTGAAACTGGATGGGTGATAAGGGTAGCTTCTGACGGATGTCCTTTCCTCAGTGGGCCGCCAACGAATGGACTAAGAGGACTGGAACCATCCGTCCTTGCAGCTCTTGACCAATGCTCGGACATGACAAGTCTAGCAACCCCAACCTAGCATGATCCAGATGATAGACATGGTTCATGCGTTTCATTTTTACACTCCAGTTTCATTTTTACACCCAGTCCAGATTTTGCGCCACACCCAGATTTTTGCGCCAGTTCATTTTTACATCCATATTTTTGCGCCACACCCACTGGAGTCCATTTGTGGAACCGGGTCACTCGAAGTGGACCGGCCGCTCGCCCGACGCGAACGAAGGCGCGAGCGGTTCGCGCGAGCTGAGGCCCCGGGCCCTGCCGGCAGCGCCGGGGGCCTCGAGCACCGTCATTTGGATCCCAATTTTTTTGGTGGGGAGATGGTGGTGGTTGGGAAAGCATTGGAAACATAGGTGTCTGTTCTTCTGGTTGTGTTGGTCGAAAAAGTCGAAGAATAGATGGCGATCCCTGGTCATTGTGCACATAGGTGTCTTTTTCTTTTTGGTTGTTTTGGTCGAGAAATAGATGGCGATCCCTGGTTTACCTGGTGGTTGAATCATCTGCCAGGGCCATCTATTTGCCCCAAAAGGGCACCTATGATTGTAAATCCCTGCTTAGCTGCTAAAGTTTACATTGTTGCTCCCCTTCCAACGTCAACCAAGGGAGTTCTCCTGCTGCGTTCCCTGCAATCCAAGGTGGTTTAAGGGGTTCAACAGCAAAAAACACGAGACTCCTAATATGAGTTACCCTGTGGCCTATGTTTAGCCAAGGTTCGCAAAGCTCGTTTTGCAGAAAAAAGAGAAACCATAACAAGAAAACAGAAGCACAAAAAAGAAACAAACAGAAGAAACAAAAAGAAGAAACAAAAAGAAGAAACAAAAAGAAGAAACAAAAAGAACAAACAAAAAGACGAAACAAAAAGACGAAACAAAAAGAAGAAACAACAAGAAGAAACAAAAAGAATAATCAAAAAGAAGAAACAACAAGAAGAAGCAAAAGAAACAAAAAGAAGAAACAAACAGAATAATCAAAAAGAAGAAACAAAAAGAAGAAACACAAATAAGAAAAAAAAGAAGAAACAACAAGAAGAAACAAAAAGAATAATCAAAAAGAAGAAACAACAAGAAGAAGAAAAAGAAGAAAAAAAGAAGAAACAAACAGAATAATCAAAAAGAAGAAACAAAAAGAAGAAACAAAAAGAAGAAACACAAATAAGAAACAAAACAAAAAGAAGAACACAACACGCGTCAGATCCTTTGGGCTGAAGTTTTCCCAACGGAGCCTGAGCCACAGCTCAGGTCAAGCTGATGCGGATCGCCAACACTGACTACCTCACCGAGGCGCAGAAGAAAAAAACAAACAAAAAGCAACGCAGGTCTTCAGTTAGAGAAAGGGCCAAATATAGGTGTGTCTTGCTTTAACACATGAAGGGCGCCTCTCTTTAACACAAATCAAGAAGTAAAGGTGGTTTCTCAAGGGAAATCAACTGGTTTTTTTTTTTGGGGGGGGGGGTTCCCCTCCAAAGAGTCTTGTTTTGAGTTGGTACCCTTTTGCACCGGAAACTTCGAATGGAGCTTCCTTGTTGCAATTCGATCTTTAGTGCGAGAAGGGAACCCTTCACTGGCATGTTCCTGAGCTGCTTGCCTCCCGGGTAAAGTCGGAGCTGCAGCGGGCCTGCAAACCATGTGTCTAAGTCGTTGGAGAGCCTGGTACCCTTTTGCTGGTTGGCTGAAACGGAAGCCACCAGAAAAACCAGAAACAACATATTTAGCTCATCTCCGGATGTCAAAATCGACAACACAGGACCTTGTGGCTTCTTTTCGCCTAGTGGGCATGTGCTTGTGAAAAGAATAAGATGCCGGGAACTCATTCCCATGTAGGCCCCGAATCAGGGGAACCCCGTTTTTTGTGGTTTTCCTCTTGGTGTCCGTCTCTACAAAACTTCCCATCTGGCTCAATCTGGAGGAGCCAGTGATCAGTTCAGACGAAAAGTTGGCATTTGAGGTGTACAGCACCTTGCAAGTTGCAACGACACCTTGAAGGAAGTACTCACCTCGCGGAGGTGAGGAGATGAACTCTACAAGCGTTCTGACTTCAGACAATTCCCCACCATCTTAGAAATTTAGGTGGTTTCTCAAAAGAAGCCTGTGAAAGGAACTGACACGTCATCAAGCTTATTTGATATTCCGGTTTCCTCGAGCCCAAAAGAATCTGGCCACCCGGAGCACTCTATGCTGAGTCTTGTGGTTGAACGATGGGGTGCGAAAAAAACCGGAATATGGGTGCGTCATTTCTTAGGGGACCCTGTAGCGCAAAAAAAGGGGTGGCGTTCCTTTTGGTTGTCCTTTAAAACCACCCCAAAAGGGTACCCTCGGCGAAAGACAGACCCATTGCTATACCATACTACATGAAGCCTTAGTTTTGTGGTTGACTTTAGATACAGCCGCGCTTTTGTGCGCCATTTTCGGCCAACCACAAGACGAATCCTTGAACCCGCTGTGGAGAAATCGTCTTTGGGCCGAACTGGACATTGCGCCAGGTCAGAAGACTGCCTTCCATGTGGACAGATCAAAAGCACCTTGTCAGTGAAATATGAATCGGAAAAAAAGGAGAAAAAACAACACGGGAAAGTTATGACGGGCGCACCAGGGGCCAAACGAATCCTGGGGTTCAGGTTCGCGAATTGCAATTGAAGATGAGTCTCAATCAAAATAAAAAACCCAGGCAATTGGAGGGTAAGGGACAATCCCGACCAGAGTTAGGTGCGGCCGCCTTGGTGCTTTACATGGGCTTGGGCATGTTTTTACCGGGGTTTTTATTGCAGATGACTTCCCGGGATATTCGAGTGGGTCGCCTGGGTCCAAGCTCAACTTGCAGCCGTGGGCGAGTTCGAATTCGATCTGAGCGCGAGAAAGGGCCAGCCCATGGCTGAGGTTGGGAGACTTTGTCAAGAAGCCGGCCACGCCGGCCAGCCTTTCGAACGGAGAATCTGACGCATGTTGACCCGGATTAATATGATTGATCGACTAACCAGTTTATTTAGATATGGGAGTGGTTTTTGGCATTCAACAAGTGTGGTCTTCATCCCCTTTAAACCCAGGGATATAAACTGGGATTTATTCACTCGGGTCAACTTTAGGGTATATCATATCATTCTTTTGAATGGTTCCCTATGGGTTTCTTGACATATGACCGTCTTGTTTGGAGGGTGCCTAACTGGAACGGAAACCATCAGGATGCCAAAGGTAAAGCATGCGTATTGGCGTTTGACATGGTAGGGGGGTTGTTTAGGGAGAACGAAACACACCCATCTTGAGGGTTCCCTGCGAGTCAAACCCATTTGTGGCGCATGCGCATCAAACCCCAGACTCCCACTTCTGGAGTTTTAGGGATGACAATTTTAGTGGCTAGCACAAAGCTTGGACTCGTTTGGCAAATCGGAAGTCAGTGTCGGGCATCCACATTGGGGGCTCGGTTTTCGTCTCTTTTTTTGAGAGGGTACTTTTTATGTTTTGTTTTATCCCCTTCCATTTTTTTGGGGTGGGGGGTCAAAGGCAAGCCAAGAAGCAAACCACCACCCAGTTTGGAGCTCCAGCCTTAAGAATGACGTGACCTCCGCCAGGAGGGCTACCGAAACTTCAAGGAGTTGGTCGGAAGGGCAAAGGTCGGTGCCACGCCAGGCCTGATCCGCTGCAGTCCAGGGCCGTGTGTGTGTGTGTGTGTTTTCTTTTTGAGGGAGAGCACCCCAAAATTCTAGGGGTACCTTCCATTTCCATTCTCTCCGGAAACCCAGGGGAAACGGCCGGAGTTTGGAAAGAACGATGGTTGAAAAGAATGGGGAATCAACCCCCTAGAAAATGGTCTCACTTCCTGAGTTCATGGACTTTAGACTTTTGGGTTTGGACCATTTTAGTGGTACACAAAAAGTTTAGACTTGTTGGCCAATCCACTCAGGAAGTAAGTGGTGGTTTCCTTCTGGTTGTCCTTTAAAGCCACTAAAGAAGGGGGTACCCTCAAAACGAGACATAGGAAATGACGTCGGGTACACTCATCTAATTGACAGTGCCTTGTTTCCCCCTTTTTGGGGGAGGGTTCTACTAAAATAGACGAACCTCTCTACTGGAGGACCTAGATTTACAATAGCCCTAGATGTGTCCTTGATTTCCACGAAGATTCAGAGGCTTGGCCGAGATGCTGCTCGGCGATCGAATCGATGGGATCGAATCCATGTGGAGCCGGGGGGTACCGCTAGGAGTTCTGATTAGGGACACGCTGGAAACCGTCCTTCAAACATGAAACAAAGATATGTTAAGATGATTCTGAGAACCCCAAGGAACCTGCCAAAGAAAAGCCCAGGTGGCATCCCCCCCAAAAAAAAAGAACGAACCCGATGTGCACGGAACCGGACCCCAGGGCTAAGACCCCAAAGCTAGCTGGGGAAAGATGTGTTTGTTGGGAAAGCAACACGGCACCAAGAGCGGAAAACAAATATCGCCACTTATAAGGTGTTGCTTTTGTGTTGTGTTTGCAGTGGCGCACATGTTTGGCGTGACTTTTTCTGGTGTGTGTGTGTGTGCTGAGTTACATGCGGGAACAATTGCTGGCAAGAAGTTGGTGTGACTTTGGGGTGTCCCTGTAGCCACTCAAAAGGTGGTTCAGGATCCGAGGACTTGAGGATCTTTCTGGGGTGCTTGGGCCACAGGGTCCGAAGCATGCATTCGCCTGTATTCAGCAGGTGCCTCTCTGGAATGTACAGCATGCCTCGCTTGGATGTACGGCATGGCGTTCTTAAAGGTACAGCATGCTAAATCACCGCGTAAATGATCATGCTCAATCTTGGAGCACTGCGCGCTGTGTGAGCAAAGCAAGTCCTCTGAGAAGTACGTGGACGCCGACGAGTATTCCCGCCACCCGAACAACAAAAACAAAGCAAAACACACAAAAAAAAACACAAAAAAACGAACACCGCCCCCAAATCCCACAAAGTTTGATCTCGATAGCTTGAGAACACTCGTCTCAATTCGTAGCGTGATAAAAGCAGCATTTAAGATGTTCATCAACCCTGCAATATGAATTTGCTCACTTGCCCAACGCCGACCATTGGACCTTTCGGTTTCCGTGAATTGGTCATTCTCAGTCATGGCCCCAAAAGGTAAACCGTATGTTTGTGCGTCCTTTGGGCAACTGAGTGTGATGAGACAGCCATTGAAACTGTCAGATAGGAATCAGACGATATGGGTCTGGGTTAAAATCAAACGAGCAGGGGACGGCAGGTTTGAGTCCATGATTCCATTTACCAGGGTTCCATTTTGGATACCCATTTTTGACCCACAGCCATATTGTGACAAACAGTTCAAGGGTTCCTATGAAAGAGGCCATGACCATCTCAGCTCATAGCGATCTTTTTTGGGGGCGCCGTATACTTTGGGGTTCCTATGTCCTTAGGAGTCTTGTTTGGGTTTGCTTGATTAGAAACCATGTGCCAGGAAAACCCATCTATTTTTTTTTAGAAAGGTCACCTATGGTCATAGCCAATTTGCCCAGATCATGACCTAGTGGAGTTTTGCCTATGCCACGTGGTCCCCTTGTTTTCCCCGCAGGCAAGCCGGCAGAGACAGCTTCCGCCGCCTTTGGCACTGCGAGAGGTGCAGATCTCGAGATGCTCACATCGGTTGTTAGGTGTTCAGAGTTTAGTGATAGTTTCCGCCAAACGACTTTACAAGGTGTTGTTTTTAAGCAAGGGATCTGAGGACAGGGCAGTTTTGTGGTTGAGTCTTGCCTCGGCTCTTGAAAGGTTGCAACCAAAGACGACCTTTTAACTCTTAAGCGTTTGGTTCCGGGTTTGGGGTTGAACAACAAACCCTGCATTCGGTTTCCAGCTGGGGTTTTGTTCTCAATAGGTTTTGGCTTTGGGTTCCGAAGTCGGCCGTGTTTTAGCTGTGTTGCAGTTACCACCATAGTAGGCTTGGGTAAAACTTATACCTCTTGATTTTACATCATGGATGGTTTCCCCTGGTGCCTATATACTATTCCAGGGGCACCTTCCCCATTCTTTCCAGGGATCCTTCTTTCCAGAAACCCAGGGAAGCCGGATCTGTTTTTTGAAAAGAAGGATGGTTGCAAAGAATGGAAAAGGAATCAACCCCTAGAACTAACTGGTGTTCAAAAGTTCCAGGGCACTCACCTTCCCTCGAATTGGTGGTTTGGCTTGGTGGTTTGGATGGTTTCCCCCTGGTTTCCCCCGGGTTTCCCCTGGTGTACCTCAAAGGCCTGGGGTTGACTGCTGGACTGCTGAGGTGCTCAGAGCACGGCGCCCTCAGCTCGCCAGCCGGAGCCGGCTGGCGCCCCAAGGGCTGTGTTTGCCGTAGGGACGACCCCCGGGTTCGCTTTGTGTTCAGTTGCTAAGCCAGCATCTTAGGCTTACCCAGCTGCAATTCACTGAGTTCCCCTCATGTTGTTTTTTTGTTGTTTTTTGGATTTGTTTTGTTGCTGAAGTTGATTTACAAGCACCTTGACCCACGCGAAACACCCATGTCCACCTGAAACCCGCACCAAATCCACACCCTAAACTCCCATAAGTACCCCACCCGCCCGAAAATGGACTTGAGGAAAAGAACCACACGCGTGATTAACCCCCCCCCCTACACATGCCCCTGGCAACGGAGAACTGAGTCGAGCTCGTTTAGAATGAATCCGAGTTACAGGACATTCTACAGGAAGTCCGCCAAAGCTCGGGCTTTGGGTATGTTGCTTACTCGTTTCGGGGGGGCTTTTGTGTGCATGCTTCGGATGCGTTGTGTTCTGGGCGCATGGCTTTTCGCCGCTGTTTGTGCTGCTTGATATTGTTCTTGTTAGAGGTTTCTAGCCCAACGCCCCCGGCGATTGGGATTCTGCGCGTTCCATGCGTCAACCCACTCGGCCAACACGACGAAGCCTCCGTCTTTCTATTGAATGAGCGAGGCCCGGGCCGAGTCCATGCCAGCCTTGCGCTCTGAGCGTGTGGAACTCATCGCCCCAGGCCGGCTTCGCTCGATGCGCAGCGTTTGCCCTAAATCGACTCTTCCGGTTGTGGGAACTTGGCGATGTGAAATAAGAGGTCCCAGAAGGGTCTACATCATAGTGAGCTCGATTTTCCCCCGAATCGGTGAGCTCACCAGAAATTGGGCAGAGGGAGGGTTTTCCTTGCTGGTGCAATCAGTAGGGAATGACAAATGGAATGAATTGGAACATCATTCCCTTAAAGAAACCAGAACGGGGATGGGTTTTGCGAGGGCATTCCACTTCTCATTCCCTGTTGAGCGCCAGCAAGAATTTGGCGATGTGGAATGTCTTAAGTTTCGCATCTCTGGATTTCAACTGGTGATGAAAACAAATCAGCCCACTTACCACTATAGTAGGTAACCAGGGGGACTGTTTTACTCACTCCCTGAGTTGCTATTGTTTGGGCTTGGACCATTTTGAGTGGCAAATCAAAACTTTGGACTTTCTCAGCCAATCCTCTCAGGAAGTCATCTTAGGTGTCGGACCTCTGGCTTTCAACTTCAAGAACAATGCAGCCGAGGAAGAGTATTGGTCGAATGCCGCTTGCGATTTTCTTCATGGTCTTTGGTGCAACCCGAATCGCCACTGACTACCTTTCGAAAACACACCTCCGTTCCTTCTAACCAAAGGGTCAGATTGTTTTCCCGGGGAAGAGCAAACCCTGTCTTGTTGCCCCCTCAAGTTGGTCGACAGTGAAGCGGATGGCGAAATTGAATCGCCCGTGACAAGAGTTTCCGAGTTGTGCACAACGTATCCCTTTCACAAAGCGCTGTGCGGATGGGCGATCCAGTTTGCCGCGGGCTAAAGCCTTGAGGTGCGGTAGTTTTTTTTCTTTCCCCGAGGTGTTCCATGGTTTCCGCTGGTTGCAGTTTTGCTGGCACTGGGTTTGGCAAGGACTGTGCAAAAACATGGCTGGAGGTCCCTTTGGGGAGGTGTGCCGTTATTTTCCCGCCTTGGAAAGACTATGAGCAGTTTGGACAAGGCCAAGTTCGTGCGGAGCTTTGAGGACAAGCCTTTGAATCGTATGGGATATGGCGTTTGGCAATTGGTCACCACTTGGAATGGATGAAACCCTATAAATAATGGGATAAACCATCAGTGGTATTTGGGACCCATTTTGGTGATACTGTGGATGGACGAAATCCTGCACAACTTGGAAACCACATTGGTTGCAGGTATTTGCCAGGGAATCGAATCATAAACCAGGGTTTCTGAGCGGTGGTGCGGATGCGGGATTTCGTCCATCCCATCCACAGTACCCTGGTCAGGTCCGGAATCACTGCCACTGCTTTGCGGTCCACAGGGTGAGTTCGGAGCCGTCCGGCGCCCAGACTCGATCGATCGATCGGACGGAGACACCGAGCGAGCGCGAGCAAAGCAAAGGCATGGAAGGTTTTAGAGCTCTTCGGCAGTCTCTAGACTACTTCATGTGATTTGGTCGGTCTCTACTGTTGGGTCTGCTTTAATGTGACCCACCCCCGTACCCCAATTCTAAAGGCAGGTCCGACAACAGTCTCCATCCTGTGCCACGCTTTAGACATTCCCTTTCTCTTGCTGAGGATGGACTCAACCCACCTAGGTGTATTGTGTGTCCATCCCCTTTTTTCAGCCCCCACTTGCAAGAGCCAAAGTTCCCAGATGCCAAGAGCTCCAAGTGGGTGCGTCTTTTTTAGGGGACTGTCCAAAATGGTGGGTTGTATGTTGGTTTCGCGTGCCAACTTCAAACAAGACACCCCCCCAAGGGTGCATCCAGTTTGTAGTTGAAGGTTAGTCAGGGACAGTCCCAACCGAAACATGGGTGCAGCCACCTTGGCAACTCTGTGCATGGTTTTGGGTTCACCATTGTCTTGGTGGTTCCCAGTCATCCCCTTGGTTGTTTATAATTACTTTTAGTTGGTTTAGAGGTTGGGTGTCCGTATGTAACCCACAAGTTCAACAGTTAAACTCACTTTTGGCAGGGGATCAGACAACTAACCTGCCAAAAAAAAGCTTTTCGCTGGGAATCTGAGGACAGCCCAGTTGTTCGAGCCAGGTTTTGATGTTCGCCTCGCGGCCTTTTCGTCTTTTTTGGGGCGAGCAGGACCAGGGCTATGGCTCCCCGCTGCTCTGGGCCGGGAAGAGTCGCAAGGCCCGGGGTGCCCGGGCCTGAGGCGAACTCGGAGACGTGTCTTCGTTTTTTTTCTTCCCCCGGGCCGAGGCTCGGAAAAAGACGAGGCCCTGGGGTCCAGTTGCCACACAGAAAACATGGATGGGTTAATATAACCACCGTTATTTACCTGATGTTCATCCAAATTGGGGTTCAGTTGCCACCGAGAAACACGTCCATTTGCTGAAATGCTTGTTGTTTTTGTTCCCCCTTGTAGGTTTCAAAGGGAATCAATTTCAGTGCTGAACATAGTTGTTTCCAGGGGACGAAAACTCAAAATGGAAGAAACAAATTGTTCGGCTAATATAACCACCATGATTTACCTGATGTTCATCCAAATCAACCATCCTTTGAATGGGCCTGGACTGGTTTCCTTAAAGAAAAGGGTCGGGGTCCAAAGCCCGATGCAAACACAGTGGGAGGTTTCCTTTAAAAGCAAGGAGTCCTACAAAGCCACGAAAAGACCAAAACGAGGAACGATGCCTCTCCGAACAAAAAAGATGGGTGTCACAAGGGTTTCAAACCTAGGGTTCCTTTTGTATAATGTTAGTTTGGTTGGGCATAGATGGGTTTCACTGGTTTAGATTGGTGTTATTCCATTTGGCAGCACCATCTTGTGGAACACCTAACCTAGTCACTAGAGAATGATTCAGCCAAAAGTCACTAGATTGGTGGATCTGTTTTTGCGGAAACCGGGATTTGGTGTTCCTGGTGGTTTTCCTTAAACGCAAAAGGGGTACCCTCAAAAACATGCAGCCACCTGGAGTCGTTTCCAAAAAACAACGGGAGGGGTGCCTAAGACACCATGGGGAGTTGTCTAAAGCACCTTTGACACATTTGCCCGGTCCAAACTTGAAGGTTTCCCGCTCGACTCTCAGCAACGTAGAATGAGCTCACCAGGTAAGACACGAGTGAACACTTATGCAGGCGAAGTGAAAATTGGCCAGTTACTCGAGTTTCCAGGCTTGAAAGTCTTTCGAAAGAACATGTTAGTGATAAACCAACTGCGTACACTTTGCTTGGGTTAACAACAAAAGAGAAAAAACATGGTTTGATTCTCTTCTGTGGGGTTGGGTGGACTTCTTTTTTGTACCAGGTCTTCATTATGAAATTATGACTCATTTCACGATTCATGAACAGGAAGGGGTTGTATATACGGCAAAGGCCCCAGCTGCTATGTCTCCATTTCTCCTGCAGACCAATGGTCCACAATTGTGTTACTCCCCACCAGGGCTATCGTTTCAAGCGCCCTGCAAAAGGACATCCTTCTAGGATGGTCGGTGTTGCTGGACAGGGGACTCCCCCCAGAACAGGAAGTATCCAGTCCCGCGGCAGAATGCTTTTGAAACACTAACTACTATTCTTTTGAGAAGGCCCCGCCACTTCCATTGGAAAAGCAGGTCCCTTTCGTTTACGTTTGCATCACCCCCAAAAAGAGTTGCCAGCGTCCCCCAGTTCTTTGACCGTCACCTGGCTAAGTCTGCGAGCTTTCGGCAACGGTTCTGAGGGCGCGGGAGCGATTCGATGGGCTGCGATGGGTGCTTCCTGAAATTGGGCTCCCCCCCCCTTCCCCCATTTTTGTGGTGCGCGTTTAGTTCCCCCAGCTAGGTGCCAACTTTTACCCTTTCTTTTTTGGTTGGGGAGGGTTCGGGACCCTACGAAAATAGACTACAGCAAAAAGGGTGCCCTTATTCTAACCTCTCTACTGGAGGACCTAGGTGTGTATTGTTCATTCGTCACTGTCAAGCCAACGCAGTTCATTGGTGAAATTGATTGGGCCTTGCGGCCCTTTTGGTGTTTTTCTTTCTGCCTTGTTGTTTGCTTAAGCTTTAAAGTTAAGCGGACAAAGGGTGGCCAACCAACCATCCACAGACAACCTCGGCAGTTCTTCTTTAGGACGCACCCAGTTCGCAGAGTTTCACCCAGGTCGTCTTCGAGGGGCTTGGCAAATGCCTTGCTCTGGAGATAGCGAGTTGTATTTAATGGCCACTGCGCAGTGCGGAAGAATGCCTTTGATCGGATCTGCGGCTGCATCTCAACATATTTTGTGAGTATGCAGGGAACCTGCGGTTATCTGAAGTCGAGTTTTGCTGATTTTTATGGGATTGCCTGCGGTGTTTCCTCACCTGTTTGGCAAAATTGAAGCTTTGTGTGGATAGATGCTTGCCCATTTGAGTACAGCCCCCTCCCCCCAAAAGGAAAAAAAGGAAGCTCTTTATTTGGCCAGCCATTCAACTGGGTCTCCGGCTAGAAAACAAATCCGCTTGATTAAGTTGTCATTGACATGGGGTTGTCTCAAAACGGCTTGGTTTCCCGAAGGTTTGGAACCAACACGTCCGGCAGCACGCCGAGCTCGAGTCTCCGAGCGCCTCGTGTCATGGCCACGAGACCAAGGAGTTCTTTCAGGCGGGGAAGCGGGTCTCTCCAAAGACCTGTGGGACATTCTATGGTCTGTCTTTGATTTAGGGGACCCCCCCCAAAGTGGATCAAAGTTGTGGTTTTCTAGGGGTTGATTCCAACCATTCTTTTCAACCATCGTTCTTTTCAAGAACCGGCTGCTTCCCCAGGATTTTGGGGCGTTTTTCTAGAAGGATGCCTGGAAAGAATGGAAATGGAAGGTTCCCCTAGAGGTTTGCTTTTTTCGGCTTCCCTTACACCAACCCCAAAAGGGGTCCTTCAACGACGCCCATTTGCGTCAACTTGTTTTCTTCGCGGTCCGGGTCCAGTTGAGCATCGGGTACAGTTGCCCTTTTCACTTTTTCGGGGGGGAACGGTTCTTGCAAGTGAGTCCAAAAAAACATGCCCGATGGCAGCAGTCCCCTCCCCAGAACGGAATCTCTGGAACCCCTTAAGAAAGAGCCTCGGGCAGCCTCAGTCTTCTTTCAACGCCGAAGCGGACTAGACTTCGATTTGGCCGGCTTCAGCCGGTGCGTTCAGGCAAACAAATTGCCAGAGATGGCTCGCAGGGGCCTCAGTGGACTTGGCTTGGGGCCCGTGAGGGAGTGGATTTCCGCAGGGAGTCACTCGCAATCAGGTAAAAAGTCACCGCGAGCACCAAAACTCCCACGAAACCAGTTTGTGGAGAATTGACCAACAGGGATTTTGAAAGCTGCTCAGGAACACTTTGGACTACTAGAATCCCTTTGTCATCCAGACTATCGCCAAGTTTGTACAGAGTCACATATACATATATATATCACATACAGGGGACATCCTTTTGGTTTTGTGATGCTTGTGCTTAAAAGGAAAGCCCAAACGGACACCGGCCATGGGGTGCCCGCGACACATGGATCTTCGGTGCCGGATTGGCGACGAAACGCCGAGTGGCCGAGGCGATAGCTTGCCTTTGCGCCTTCTCCTCAGTCTCTGAAGCCCAGGATTCCGCCTTTGGCTCGATCTTTGGGACCAAACCCCCGAAAATATTTCGGCAAGAAGTGAGCAGGCCCGCAAACCCTGTTGGCCATGTTAGGTGGCTCTGCAGAAAGGGGCTAAATCTTGAGTAAGCCACGTGTATGACCAAATGTCAATAGGTCTTGGGTGCGGCTCAAATGGCGGTTCCGTATGCTCTGAACCGTGATCGACCTTTTGCTCAGCTTGGAGCAACCAATCCAGGCTTGGGGTGAGGGAAATCAATGAGCCTTGCTACCCTGATCAGCATTCCCAAAAGAACCTCTTCAGACATCTCCTGGGACCTTCATTCCCTTTTTGGGGTCCATCTTGATTTGCGGAGTAGGCCTTGAGTAGCCTCCGCTTGTTCATGTTCGTTTCCTAGCAGGGATGTGCCCAGTTTGTTTGCACCTTCCTTTTGTGTTTCAAAGGTCCCATAAGTGATTGAAAGGGTGCTACTGATGCAAATTGCAAGCTCTCTTGCGCAGCTGAGTGCGTGTGCGTGCATCTGTTTGTTTGCAACTTCTGCGTTTTTGGAAAGGTCACCAAAAGTGACGGGTGGCGCTAACCTGGGGTCGACAGAAGAACCCTGAGAATTTCTGGCTCAGATTTGTAGACATTTGGCATGGTCTTCCCGAAGGAGACTGTCGGGGGACGACGACCCAAAAGCAGACCCGGTAATTGACTAAGTATCAACTAATGAGCATATCCAACTAATAGGTACTAAAACACACATGTGAGCTTCAACCACGAAACGGGTGTGGACATCCACAACCAGGGGGGGCCAAGTGCTCGTTTCTCTCCTATGAATATGTGCCCCAAAGTCGACGAGCCCCAAAATTGCGTCGTTTTGGGTCTTCCTTGAAGCCAAGCCCACGAGTCCCCTGACAAAGAAAGACTCCATATCGTTGACTCCCGGCGTGAGGCTGTGTGCGTTTGGCCGAGCTCCCGAGCCTGGGTTTCGCCTCTTGGAAGCGGTTGAGCGATCTGGAGAATTGGGTGGCGCCACTTGCCGTGAGCCAAAGGGACTCCTGGAAAAAAGTCGCCATTTTGAATAATGATAACCCTGGATGAATACACCCCAGTTGATTAATAGGGTGTCCCTGGGTTTAGTGGGGATTCAGGCCAGTTTTGGACGGGCGCCCATCCCCATATTCAATTTGCTGGGATTAATTAATCTGTTTTTTTTTGTCCCGTTCTGGGACAGCCCATGTTGACGGGGACGACCTTGCAGCCAGAAATGTGGGTTTTTTGAAGCCAGTTCCCTCCGGAAGCTACGTTTTCTATACCCCTTGTGATGTGGAGGTTAGACAGGGACCATTCCCTTACAGAAAGGCCAAATTGTTTTGCAACCATTAGGAAAGATGCTTGGTCCCATATTCACTATCCAGCAAAAGGATTCTTTCCGCACGCATGTTGTGTGTTTCGACTTTTCTTGTTTGCGTTAGCAATTCTTGGTCAACGCACAAAAACTGTCCTGCCCCGTTGAAAGGGACATCTGAATTGGTATGCCTCATCAACTCTCGGTTGAAGAAGCACAATAAAAGTGGCTAACACGAGCTGGCCAGGAAGGGTTCTTTACTTGATCCCTTGACAGGGTTTCTTTGCTTGATCTAATTCTTATTTCAGGTTGCTGGGTCGATGACCCATTCGGCCTCGTGACAGTCAGAGCATTGATATATCCCTATGGAAGTAAACACAATCCAGTGCTTGCTCTCGGCGTGCAACGCCACTATTGTAGGCTTGAATGCAAGCCTGCGATAGTGGCGTTTCACGCCAATCGGAAGCACTGGGACAAAGTGTTTTTGTCAGTTTCTCTGGCTATGGGAGCTGCTATGAGCTGCTACCTTCCGGCTCATTGCTCCAAAATAACAGGAAGTCTCAGCATGACGCCACGGGTTTAGACGGTTTCCCTTGAAGCCATCCAAAAAACGACACGTTACGCAGCCCGTGTGCGCGGTCCAAGTGACGAACCCCTCCAACCAAAAGCGAGCCATGCGTGAAGTGAAGTCGATGCTCAGGCCCTGGAGGTCCGGCACCAGGCGGGGCTTCGGGGCTTCGGGCTTCGACATGTGTGCGGGTGGCTTTTGCTGGCCACCCCCAAACTCCTAAGATGTACATTTCAGGGGACCCCCAAAATTGAGATGCCTTCGCCTCTTCTGCACACATCGTCCTGGCAGAAGGCAAACGAACGAGTCACTCCGTGAGACCCGGCCTCGTTTGTTCCTTCGACCTTTTTCTTCCCTGGTCAAAGGACACCTGGACTTGGGGTTCAGATCGTCAACCTCTTGAAATGCTTGAGGCACAGAATGTAAGAGATTGCGATTGAGGCAGAAATGATGACCCGAAGCAGGTTTGATTATGCAGAAGTGTGTGGTTTGCGGTCACGTGTGGTTCAGAACGAGAAAGGGCGAAGTCCGACTTTGCCGTGTCCATTGCGGGAGCTGCACATTCTGACCGCCTTTTGGATGTACCACAAGAGAAATGCAAAGGGCTGAATAAAATACGGATTGTTCTCTTATGATCATGGCTGAGTTAAGTCGGGTCTGCTCTTTTTGAGCCAGTCGTACATAGGCTTCAGAAGATGATATCTTGAAGAGGAATTACGCTCCGGTTGTATGCACAACAATTCATGGGAAGATCCAGAGACTTGGTGACAGGCAGATCACGATATGGGCTCATCTCTTGTTGCCCCCCCCCAAACAAAAAAGAAATAGGAGAAAAAGAACAGGAAACACAAGCAACAAGAGGTGGTATTACGTTGGTGTTAATCCCTTATTCGGGTAACCGCAAAAACAGGGCCACATTGCTCAACTACCAGTGCGGGAAGCATTTTGCAGACTCCCGACACCAGACCTTCAGGCGTTTCGGAATTCCGTAAGGGCAGGGTGCTTCGGAATTGGTTAGTAACAATGATTACAACCCTGCTTGCTAATTTGGCCGAGTAAACAATTGGCAAGCAATCAGCAAGTGGTTTGTACTTGGCGGGTAATTGATAATTCATTGATTAAGTTCAGACCACTGGTTATAAAATGGTTCCGCACACTCAACTTCCAAGTGCCCCCCCTTTAGGCGGATATGGTAGTTTGTGATTCGCTTGCCATCTGCTAGTGGGCTTGCATTTCTGCCAGGTCACCAAGGGTCATGTGTCTGGCTGTGCAGCCACTGGTCAATGAAATGTCAGAGGCCCGCCCCGCGTCAGCAATCGGCGGCAGTTGGTCCGTTCTGAATATTGTCATTTTCCCCGACCCAAGTTGCATTTGTTTGGGTTCCGCTTTATTGGTGGCTTGGATTCATGGTTAAAATTTGGATTTGAACCCCTGCTACTTGAGATAAATGGAAAGCTACCCCGGCACGCCTCCAAACCACCCTACCGTCACTAGCAAGAGTCAACCTTCCGTCAAGCACGCGTGAGCCCACCACATGTGTGGCCATCCAACCACCCTTTTTGACCCACCAGAAGCTAAGAGGATTCACTCGAAGAGGCTTCCGCTTGGCTGGGATTTGATTGCGCTGTTTCGGGTGGTCTTTCCATGGTTTGTTTGTATTGCCTGTACTGTTGTCGGATCGTGTGTAGTTGGGGTCTTTAGACGATTGTTGGCTCTGTTCGCTTTTACTGGGGGGGTGGGCTGCAAAAAGAAGCAAACAGCTTTTTGGCAAGCCAATGCCAAGCGTTGTAAAGGGCTTTGCGTGCTTTTTGGGAGTCTTCAGATGATTTTGGGTTCTGTTCACTTTTAGTGGGGGGGCGGGCGCTGCAAAAAACGCAAACATGTTTGTTTTTGCCAGCCAAGGGTTGTGGTTAGGCCTTTGTCTGCTTGTTCAGGGAGTCTTCTCTTTTCCCCAAAAATATCGCTGGCTTGTTCGGAGCCCCTGGTGGCAGCGTTCTGTAGTGAGTTTCCCCGAACTAACCAAGAGGGAGGGGGAGCACTCTCTGGGGACAGTTCTGAGCAGGGGTGTCTTTTGGATCGGTTATTTTGGATAGAAATACCTAGATGGGTTCCACTGTTTTAGGTTGATGTTTAGATTTTGAGAGCAACGGCCGTTATTTGCTGGGGAACGACGTTGGGTACACACCAAACTGATCCAAATTGCCAAAGCACGTCAAGTACGAGGCTGCCGTGACAGGTTTGGGTTGGGGCCGCCCCAATCAACTTCTACATGGGAAATGAGTGGGCCCCCAAAATGGGCTGCTCTGTTTTTGGTTTGCCTTTCACGCCAAAAGGGGGCAAGGCCCAAATCATATGAGCCACAATCAAAACCCGGGTACATGAAGGTTCGCAAGGGACAATCCCAACCATGAATAGCTGCGGATATCCGCCTTCTTATTTCTTGAAGCATGGTTCTGGGATTACGACCATTCGAATACCGGGTTTTTATTATGACTCATATGGGTGTGTCTTTTTTTGGGGGAGCCCCCAAAATGAGTAGCTTCCTTTGGGTTTCCCTTTAAACCAACCCCAAAAGGGGTACCAGCTAAAAAAAAAAAAGGCACACCCATACTGTGGCACCACTTTGAAGCCATGGGTTGAAACCCTGGTTTGTTGAGGTATTCACCGGGGAATCGAATCATTCCAGGCGCAGAAACTCTTCCCTTCCTTCGGGTCCTCCAGATCCCTTGCTCCCGAGTCCGACGCCAGGATGCCAGCCCGGGTGGAGCGTCTTTTTTGGTTGGTGCGAGGTGGTGGGGTTTCGGTTTCCCGAGTTTTTGCCCCACTGAAACGCAAGCTTGGAGCAAAGGATCTGAAAGCGGACTGGAAATAGAAGCAAGAGAAGTAACCCAGCTGCCCGGTGGAGTGCGCCCCTTGCGTTTTTTCCTTTCTGGGGAAGGCGTCCTCTTCAAATCCAACCAACCCAAAAAAATCATATATTGTCTCCGAACTTCGCGCTTCCATGGAATCGCCTGGATGGGCGACCTTCCCAGGTGAAATCTGCGTCTGTGTGTGTGTGTGTGTGCGTGTTGTTGGGGCTGGGTACCCACTTGTTTGTTTGTTTTTAGGAGAAAGCTGGAATGAAACCAGGCTGGATACCCATTTGTTTGTTTCTTTTTTTTTCCCCCAGTGAATTGTTCAAGAGAAGGCCGGAATTAAACCCCCTAGTTGGTTCTCCCTGTTTTGACACCCCGAAGTCCTGGAGCTTTTGCTCGAGCTTAAGACCTCTCGCGTCTCCGGAGGTCTTCCAGCGCTGTGTGGAGGAGTATTCGAATGAGAATAGCGAGGAGTTTCAGGAGGGGCCGCGGCCCCGGGCCGAAAAGAAATGTTCTCTTTCCAGCTCCAAACGAAACACCCAGGTCGAATGGGATATCACCCCCGCCCAAAAAAGAAAAAAAACAGAAAGAAAAGAGGAACACTACCCCGGGGTTGAATGGGATAACATTGCCAATTCAGGGTATACCCCCAAACAAAGCAAGTCCCCGGGGTTGAATGGGATATATCGCCAATATGGGCACCGCATAAAATTGTATACTTCGACTTCCTATCCTGGTCAGCATCTGAGGGTTGGAACACGTAAAGAAAATGGGGACCTCAGGTTGGAAAGGAAGACGGTACCCGAAACCAAACAAATCAATCGCCTAGAAAACAGTATGAAAACACTGCACGCTTATTCCCCAAATCCCCTCATCCCACTTGTGGAAACAGAGGTACAGAACTTGGCTGGCCAGATCTTGCATACATGTTCCTGTGTGTTTTTATCCAGGCCCGTGGTTTGCGTCCTTTCCGAGTTTTCCCCAAGCGTTTTGGGGGTCCATAGGCCGAAATAGGCTTTTGGTGGTTTGGGGATTCGGTTCCCTTCAAAGGTTCCGGAATTGGCTGGAGAGATCTGATTTGGGAGGGAGTTGGGGCTTTTTTGGCGTTGGTGCCCTTTTCGTGTTGGTCAACGGAGTCGGTGCTTTGGGAGTCCTTGCCATTGCGCGTTGGGATTCCCAAGAGTCTCGGGCTCGAGGAGCTGCGCACAATGCGATTCAACCCAACGCGCCTAGGATGGCGCTCTCCCTTTCGAGCAACAGAAATCGGTTGGTTTCTCTGCAACCTATGAACAGATGGACCCACATATCCACCTCTAAGTAGAAGCAGTCCGGACTCCCGGACTTCCGGAAATAGAAACGGAAAGTTCGGCTTCAAGGGCTCAAGTTTCCAGACTCCGGGACTCGACATGTCCCATGTCCTCTTGGGGGAAACCTTGGTACGTTGCTACGTTTGACCATGGCTATGTCCAACTAGGTCCTCCAGTAGTGCCCTTTCTCACCAACTTTTTTTGGGGAGGGTTCCCCTGCTAAAATAGACTGCAGAAAAAAAAAGGTACCCTTATTCTAACCCCTCTACTGGAGGACCCAGCCAAAGAAATTGTCTGCACCCACGAAAAAGTTGCCCTGAGGCCGCCTGCGACGGGCTTCAGAAACCTCACGGAGTGCATCAGGCTGAAAATTTTGACGTTGACGTTGAGTCGTTGGGGCCTTCTGGTTGTAGCTGGGGTGAATCACTTTCTGAGTGGGCAACCCCCAAGGCAGGTTGGCGGATCATGATGTTTTCGGAATTCATCCGGAGACCGTCTTTCTGGCCATCTTGCTGGTGCGATAGGCAAAGGAGAAATGGAGTCTGACCCCAAGAAAAACCATCCAACTGGTGGTTTCCTGTAAGGGGATCCTTGATTTCATTCCCACATACTGAGCACCAGCAAGTTAGAACCTGCGTGAATCACTTTCTGATTTGGCAACCCCAAGGCAGGTTGATGCCAATGATAGTGTTAGCTTCGGAATTCATTTGGAGGATGCCCTCTAGTCAGGGAACTCCCTAAAATAATAGATATCAGTTCCGCGCTAAAAGGGGAACCATCCCTGGCTAGCGCGGCCCGGATCAATCCTAGGTCAACATGAATGGGAGCTGCGGAAGCTCCTTTTTGTTGGATGTTGTATCCGATTTTGATGGGAATCCTTTGCTGTTGTTGGTGACACATGCACCTTTTGGTGGGATGGCTTTTAAATGTCCGGGCGTCCAATGTGTTGATTTTTCTTTCTCAACATTTGGAAGACCCAAAACCAAGTGCCGTACAACAGGGTGTCTATGTGTGTTTTTTTCTAGTGGGGTACCACCTCAAGAAATGTTGGTGGCCAGAACCCCTAGAGGCCATTTTGCTGCCTGTTTCTACTGGAGTAGCAGCCTGGATCATATAAACCTTCTGCTACTTTTCTTTGTTGAGGCCTGGTACCTCCCTTCCACCAACATAGCATTTGTGGGAGGGTGACTGGAACAGCATGTTCGTTTGTAGGGACCTGTGAGATGCTATGTTAGTGGGAGTGATGCTTGGTACCCTTTTTTGGCGTAGTTAAAAGGGAACCGAAGCCCATTTGGGGTCTCAGTCCAAATCCCGAAGGTGTGATGCGGGTATGCCGCTTCTTTTTTTGGCCGGGGGGGGGGGGGAGGCCCATGCTGTTGTTGTTGTTGTTGTTGTTGTTGTTGTTGTTGTTGTTGTTGTTGTTGTTGTTGTTGTTGTTGTTGTTGTTGTTGTTGTTGTTGTTGTTGTTGTTGTTGTTGTTGTTGTTGTTGTTGTTGTTGTTGTTGTTGTTGTTGTTGTTGTTGTTGTTGTTGTTGTTGTTGTTGTTGTTGTTGTTGTTGTTGTTGTTGTTGTTGTTGTTGTTGTTGTTGTTGTTGTTGTTGTTGTTGTTGTTGTTGTTGTTGTTGTTGTTGTTGTTGTTTGTTGTTGTTGTTGTTGTTGTTGTTGTTGTTGTTGTTGTTGTTGTTGTTGTTGTTGTTTGTTGTTGTTGTTGTTGTTGTTGTTTGTTGTTGTTGTTGTTGTTGTTGTTGTTGTTGTTGTTGTTGTTGTTGTTGTTGTTGTTGTTGTTGTTGTTGTTGTTGTTGTTTGTTGTTGTTGTTGTTGTTGTTGTTGTTGTTGTTGTTGTTGTTGTTGTTGTTGTTGTTGTTGTTGTTGTTGTTGTTGTTGTTGTTGTTGTTGTTGTTGTTGTTGTTGTTGTTGTTGTTGTTGTTGTTGTTGTTGTTGTTGTTGTTGTTGTTGTTGTTGTTGTTGTTGTTGTTGTTGTTGTTGTTGTTGTTGTTGTTGTTGTTGTTGTTGTTGTTGTTGTTGTTGTTGTTGTTGTTGTTGTTGTTGTTGTTGTTGTTGTTGTTGTTGTTGTTGTTTTTTTGGTGGGGCCCCGGGCCTGTGTGGTGAAACCTCTTGGTTTCGCCTTATCCAAAAAGGGTCCGAGTGTGTCTTTTTGTGGGACTGGTTTAAAAAGAAACCTTATTTTGGGGTACCCTTGTTGGGATTGGTTGAAAGGGAACCCCTTTTTTGGGGCTATTTTTTTGTGCGGCCGGTTTATTGTCTGGGGGTGCCAATTCTGGGGCCTAGTTTAAAGTAAGACCGTATTCTGTTTGACCGACTCTCTTGGTGGAACCGAAGGAACCCCCCCCCACCCCCTCTCCCTTGGTTTCCGTCAAAGCGTTCAATACGAATGGAGCCAATCTATTTCAAGCCAATCGGTGGATGAAACCCCATGAATACTGGGATAAGCCACCTCGTGGCAACTGGTGCAAGACTTTCTCCACCCACAGTCATTTCTCAAGTACCCTCCCACCAACTGAAATGGAAGTGCACAAAGCCCCTTTCCAAGAGGAAGGTAGTCTTTCTACAGGGGTCTGTGCACTTCCATGTTAGTTGGTGGGAGGGTACATTTTGGGTCTGCTCACATTGCCTTGACCTGGCCAGGCCATACCACCCCAACCCGGAGTGGCAGCTCTTTCCGGGAGGCGATTCGTGCCTGCCTTGCGCTTTGGTTCCACCAACGCCTTGGCCAAAAAATGCCCCCCCCCCACTGTGCCAGTGGATCAATCCCAGGCAAGCCAGCTTCCTTTTAAGCTTGTGAAAGGGTGGCTCTCTTGGTTCCTGTACAGATAAATGGATCAGGATTTTCCAATGTGCGAGACAAACTAATAGAAGTGCCTCCTGTTTCCCGACCAAGCACATGTTGTTGTTATTTGCAGGAGGTTTTGGGAATCAACGCAGTTTTCTTGTTGCAAGGAGTAATCTGGTTGAGCATGTGCCAACATAGCGCGCTGAAGCTGACGGGGTCAATACTCATCTAAGGGCATGACACTCAGCTGACACTCACCAAAGGGGTTGTTGAACCACATCAATTCATCCACTCCTCAGCAAGTTACAATCGGACATGGTGCTGGGTGAACCTCGCCAACATCCTGGACATGTTCATCCAATCCTCACATCCACTGCACCATGGGCATTGGCTGCGGATCGCAGCGCTCTCCGCTCTCCACCCCTCCATCCACCCCTCGCGCCTGCGCAGAAGTGGGGAGCTTCGAGCGGGATCAGAAGATCTGCTCCATGTGCTCCCAGATGTGTTTGGAAGCGAAACAGACATAGGTGTCCTTTTTGATTGATTTGGTCGCAAAATAGATGGCCCTGGTTTGCCTGGTAATTTAATCGTCTACCAGGGCCATCTATTTTCCCAAAAAAGACACCTATGGAAACAGAGTTCCTATTGGCCATTTTCATTACTTCCATTCGCCTAAGGATTGTTCTATTTTTTTCTGGTGGGTTTTGAAGGGAATCGATTTCACTACTGGAAATATGTTTTTGTTCCAGGGGACCCAAGCAATTGGAAGATAGGGGTGTTGATTGGTACCTGGCCTGTGGATTGCAAGGCAAGCTTCGAGCCAACAGGCAGATCGGGTTTGGGCGCTTAAACAAGATTTCTACTCACTTGCCCAAAGCGAATCAAACTTCTGACCTTTTGGTTTCTACGTGTTCCATTTTTAGTCATGGCTTCGAGGACTGCTGTCATGTGCCAGAAAGAAATCGTGGTTTCAGTTGGGGTACGGTGCATGCCCTAAATATTGCAAGGGAAGCTGGGGAAGTTTACCGTTACAGGGTTTGCGTGGAATGTGATTATCTTGCAATATGGAGATGCGACCCCAGAGGTACTCTCCAGATTAACATGGAAACCACAAACACTCTTTGCTGGGCGATTCCCGGCCGTCCACTTAGGTTTTTCGTTGTTTGTTTGGTTTAGTGGGGGGGTCCCTTCAACCGACTAAGAACTAAACTTTTTGCAGGATCTGAAAACAGACAGCCCAGTGTAGAGCACCAGCGCACGACACTTGAGATTTTCTCGCCATTTCCAGGTACACTTTAGCTACGGGATTGTTCAGGGATATCAACAAGTGCATCCGCGATGACAACGAAGACGGTCTGCGGCGTTTGGCCGTCTACTGAGGCTCCAAAATGCACAAGACATCATGTGAGAGAGAGAGAGAGAGAGCTTGTGCGAATTGTGGCTTGGCTGATCGTGCAGTTTGAGGGAATGACTACGCGCGCCTACTGTGGATGGACGAAATCCATTCGCACCACTCTGAAACCATGGTTGAAACCATTTACAAGGGAATCATCAGACGCCAGGGTTTCGTTGGTGCGAAATGGGTTTTGTCCATCCATAGCATGCGCCCCAGATACGTAGGGGAAATGGAGCTTTCCGGTTGGAACGCCCAGCTATGTCCCGTGACGCTTCCATGGCGACTCTCGGACTCGCGACTCGCTGAGGCCCCCATGGTTTGGGAGATCCGCGAGGCTCCTTGGGTTGAAACGCAAAAAAAAGAAGAAGGGCTTTTTTGAAGCCCAGCGCATCCCAGCTACCACAATAGTAAGCAGCCATTTCATTTTGACTTGAGGCTGGTTTCGTTGGGTACATGTTGGGTCAATGGAGTCATGTTGGGGTGCTTTCTTCAGGCCTTCAAACCAAAAGGGTACCCTCAAAAAACGAGCATCCGGAAGCGGCCAAGACGACCGGAGGGTTCCATGCTGGTTATCCAGTAGCCCAACAAGTTGTGGTTGGCCTTGTTGTTTCTCTTGAAAACCACCCTGAAAAAGGGTACCCTCAAAAAGTCACAGAAACACTATATGTGCATAGTATTATATGTATATATGTATATCATATACAGATGGGTTGGTGGTGTGGGTAACCCCCAAAAATGGACTGGTCACTCGGAGGTTCTCCGATTTGAGACCGCCAAGATCTGCAAGCCGGATGGGCGCAAGCAGGGGCCTAAGAGCTCCAAATGGCCTCTGGATTCACGAGCAATCCCTTCGCACTGCACCGCAAAATTAGTTCTGGTTGAAACGAATTTAACGTTTCTGGGTATTTAAAAGTTGGGGAATCCGGAATCGAATCAGGCGCCAGGCTTTCTGAACTGGTGCGAAATGGATTTCGCAGCCATCCACAAACCCCCGTCTATTTTTTGTAAGTTCTACCTGCTTTAATAGGGAGTGCAGCAATCCCTGCATAAACCTTACCTATGTTGCTCCAAGGCAGCCATTTGTTGATAACAATTTCACTCGACAACCTGGGAACTGGTTGTCCAATTCCTACCTGGGTCAAAAGGGCTGCTAAGCATGAATGACGGTCATCGACTGCTAATCGGGGCGTGGTAGGCACGAAAAAGAGGGTGACATGGTCCTCAAGACTCTGGAGCACAAACCAAGTATAGAGTCGGATCACGGCGAGCCTTCCGGAGAAAGTTGGTGGTTGATTGCATTCTGTCTGTCTCTGCCTAGGCCATAAAAGTTGTCTAGGTTCCTAAAGCTTCATCGACGACTTCTTTTTAACAAATGCCGCTTGGATCCCCGGGCCTTCTCGTGAAAGACATTTGACCACGGCCATGGAGATTGATCTTGCGGAAACCCATTGGTTTTTCTCCTGCCCCTCCCCTTCCTTTTCCACATCCAAGGGTCTGAGGAGTTGGGAACCGAAGGCGTAGCTGTAGATCTGTTTTCTGACTGAGCCTCGTTTAGTGGGGGACCACAAATTCTGTCAAGTTCTGGAGTTCAACTTCTGGTTGCCTGAGCTATATAAACCACGGCGAAGACTGAAACAAAGACTACCCATATGGTACTCGCAGAAACAGAGTACCCAGAGAGAACTCCCCTGAAACGGGTACAAAGAAAAGGCCAGCCAGCTTTCATGCTTGACAAGCTCCAAGCCGACCCCTGAGCTAACCTCCGCTCCGACTGGCGTCCCTTCTCGTGGATGGTCGATTTGGGCTGTGGTTAGGGGTGGGAACCTCCAAACTGGCGCAACGGCATTCCTTTTCGTGTTTCTCTAAAACCAAAAGAGAGGGTACTGGTTTGTACTCTCAAAAGACGAGGAACCAATTTCCAGCGTCCATTTCTGGAGCCTAACATGCAAGCTGACGGTGCCTTTGGGTTGTTGTGCTCCCATGGAAACCCAAATCCAGACAGAGGGCACGTCAGGTGGGTAATGGGGCCAGGGTCTCAACTTAGGGGAACTAAGTGGGCTGCAACCTACCAAGTAGTTTAACCGCTTAGGCCAAAATGCTTTCTCTCGATGTTCCGGCTCAAAAATCCAGGCCCGTTTCTTCCTGACCCGATTGTTTCCGGGAGTCAGGCGAACCCAAAATGAACCCCCTTTTGAAGCTGGCTAAGGGGAACCAACAGCAAACAGTTGCCGTCCAACTCTCCAAGTGGTTTACCCTACAACCGCCAGGGCTTGCAACCCCGATCCAGACGGCCCTTTTCGGGGCTACTCGGGCAACCCTTGGTTTGGATTGAGGGGGTTCGAACCCCAGGCTGTAGAGGTAAATGGGAAGCCATCTTTGACCAACCACCGGTTCGGCAAGCCATGCTTTTGGGAAGGAAGCCGAGGTACCTGAAATCCATCGAGTCGAATCGCTGCCATTCAGCTAGGGAATGAGGGAGTGATGCCAAAACAACCATCCCCGATTTGGATTCATCCCAGGTGGCTTCCTTGAAGGGAATCCCGAGGTTCATTCCCTTCTTCCCCACCGATCTCTCGCACCAAGTACTTCGAAATTCGAGTCGAGGTGCAAGCCCTTCATGGGCAAGTGCCTGCGCGGCTTGGAGGTGTCGCCGCGTGGGTGGTTCGTATGGGCGGTGTGTCCTCTTAGCAAAACCGGGCACCAAAATGACACAACGGCCGGGCCTTGCGGGTTTCCCTTTGAAGCGACCAACAACAAAGGATCCAAAAAGTAGGAGGTTCATGGTAGTTATAACCCAAGGAACAGTGACAACGGGGACTTGAACCATGGCTAGCCTGGCTACTAACCACTAACCTCACGTACCCTGCCCCCTGAAGGGAAACCTTGAGGAAAGCATCCGAACTTTCGGGTGACCGAGGTAACTCCACACCCTTTTCTGGGGTGTTTTGTGGTTATTTGATAGGAATTCGTGGAATGGAAGGTTTCCAAGAGTTCGCCTGACTAGAAGACAGGGCTGTGTTTTCCTAAGGGTTGCTGAGGCTTCACAAGAAAAACTGAGAGAAATGGCCATGGGGCGGAACCTATGGCTCCATTTTTGGGGTGGATGAACATCCATTTGCCACCTATATTTTGATGTTCACCAGGGTACAGGGTTTTGACCCACCGCCAAATCAGTTGGGCAACCCCCAAAGATCCTTTGGCTACGAAAGGAGTTGGTCCTCTTTGCAGTGGCTTCTCTACGGACAATCGAGTAGGATTGTCCGACACTCCGTGTTCAAATAGTTTGTACTCCAGAGTAGTAAACCTGGAGGATTTGTTAGGGCCCCTTGTTTATCAACTGGGATGTAGAAATCAACTCGGTTGTCATGATCCCAGAGAGATGTGAATACTTCACAGTGGTTGGATCCTGCTTTCAGGTGTTTCGTTTTTTGGTTCTGTTGATTTTAACGGGCTGCGACAAACCAAAGGATGTTTGCGCGCCTGACTGCTGGCAAGCCCACACCCTTGGGGTTGCAAGCTTCCCACCTGCGAACCCAAACATGTGAAACGCTTTGTTTGGGAAGGCAAAGTATCCCCAGACCCATATGAATGGAATTGGGGGATTGTCCCTTTTTTGGGGGAAGACTGGACAAATGGAAATGGCCCTCAAGGTAGGGGGGATGCTAAAACCTTGGTTGGCTGGGGTGGCGGATTCTTCTGTTTTGCGAGACATGAGGCAAAGATAGTTCGAATACATGTCTCAGACGCGTGTGAAAGAGAAGCAAAGAATAGCAAGCATACCCAAACCAGGGTTTATTTTTCTGATAATGTAGACTCAATCCCAGGGGGGTCCCCTTTGTGGGGAAACCAGCCACGGGTTTAAGCCTACTTGGGGGTTGTCAAACAGTGGAACCCTGGACCCAACTCTTGTGCGAAGCGATCGAGGCCCTTGGTCATCTTGGCAACTCCCGATTTCATGTTCATAGCAGGTAACCAAGGGACAGCTTTAGAAAACCAAAAGGAACATGGCGGGTTGGTGGTTTGCCTACACCGGGCCTAGTTTACTGGTGTTCTTGAGAGGATAAGAGAAACCAACTGCATAACATTGGTGTACACATGGGCGTTGTCTGCCTTTTTCATCTTCAAGGGGCATGCCAAACTGCAGCAAACTGCGCTGAGTTGAATCAGGTCCCCGAGGACGAGGTGGAAGAGTGGGCCTCCCTTTACAAGGACCGACTGCGGCAAATGCAAAATGAGTCTTCCTTTGAGCGGCGAGCACGAAGAACTTGGGGTAAAAAACCACACTTGCAACATCCAGCTACGCTGCAGCGTATGGGTGTGTGTTTTTGTTTGAGGGTACCTCTTTTTTGGTGGCTTAAACGGACACCAAAAAGGACAACCACCACTGTTAACAGACACACCCATATACATGGAAGCAAGCGCATTTTTCAAGACGGATGATCAGCTTTGGCGGTACCCCAAACTTGAGCTTCCAACGTAACATCGCCCATGTGGTTTGGCCAGATCCAGAAATCTATGGTCAGCTTGGGAGGGATGCAGGGCTATTCTCTTCTCCCAACCAGGTGGATTGAATAATTTCTCATGTCCAGTTTGCGGACCCGCATATTTTGACTCACTCGCTTGCCCAAAGCGAATCGACCTGAATCGACCTTTCGTTTTTCCCAATTTTTTGGTCCATCTTCAGTAAAGGTCACAAAGGGTCAACCTGATTTCCAGGTCCCTTGGGCAAGTTGACCGTTGCTCTCGCAGGAAGGCACCGAATTTACTTGGCCGGCCTTCACCTCCTGTCAGCTAGAAGATGGAGGCCAGTGGACTGTGGAGCACTTATGCTACGCCGTGTGAGACGGTCGCCGCGTTTTTTGGCGTGGCTCGGGGGCCAAACTTCAGGCAAGAAGTGGTTCTGGAGGAAATCGAATGGGTTGCAAGGAGCGATCTTGGGCCCGTTTTGTTGAGCAGTCAAGCAGGTCTTTTTGGCTCAGATGGCATTTTTGTGGGGGGGGCATCAGTTGGATCGGCCAGATCAGTCACTTGAATCGCGGCAGGTTTGTGGCCGTTTGATGGGAACCTGAACTTTGAGATTGAGCTGGGCACCAAGAGTCCCAAGCGCTCGCCGCATCGCCAGGACGAAAACACAGCACTTGATCTGGCAGAATGTGTGTGTGTGCGCTTCTGCGTCAGGGTACCCCTTGTTGGGGTTGGGTTTTGATGGAAAGCCAGAAGGTGAGCCATCATGTTTATTATTTTGTTGGGTCCCGCTTTTCTAGGTTTTGGTGTTTGGTTCAGCCAGGGAACTCGAAGTGGCAAGTGCTTGCATCGCTGCAAGGGTTACTTGCCATTGCCAACTCAATATTATAGTATTACTCGCATATATATATATATGTATATATATGTATACATATATAAGTATACATATATTCATATACATACATACACATATACATATATTGATATATGCATCTGTCTTTATGTAAACGACATACATAATGGTGGAACTTGATTAATAAACCCGCCCCCCCCCCCCCCCTCAAGGTTGACAAGGTTTGGGAAAATCAGATTTTTGGTGTTTCCCTGGGGCCTCTCCCAAATAATTGATTTGCTGACTTGAAGCTTGAGAAGCTTGAGGATGGAGGTTTGGAGGCTTGAGGTTTCTGATCAGCTGCCAGGCTCCTGCAACTTGCTGTTTTGGAAGACGAACTTTTCAGAAAAAGGGACCCTTGGCCAAATTCAAATAGAATCTTCTGGTAGTATCTGTTGAGTAGCAAATTGCTGGGGCCAGGTTGTGGCTTTTGAGGAGGGGCAGGGATTCCCTTGATTAATCAGGGGGGGTTTCTCTTATTGGGGGGGGGTCAGGCCTTGAAGGGGGGGACCCTTTGTGGCTTTGGCAAACCTGCATTTCTTAAACAAGATGTAGTAAAGAAATTTGCTGTTTGGGAATGCAAACTTTTGAGAAAAAGGAGCCCTTGGCCTAATTCAAACAGAATCTTCTGGTAGTATCTGTTGAGTAGTAGCCCTTTAGGCTTCCAATTGCTGGGGCCAGGTTGTGGCTTTTGAGGAGGGGCTGAGTCATGAGGAAAAGGATGCTGCTGCTGTCTGCTGCTTCAGGATTTTTTTTCTGGGAGATTGGGGGACGTCTTTAATCAGGGGGGGTTTTGGAGGTGCCCCCAAAAAAATAAGGGGTGTTTTTTGGCCAAACCTTTTGGGTGCCTTTGAAGTAGTATTGCCTGGAAATGGTCTGGGGAAACCGGGCGTCTTTAATCAGGGCGGGTTTATTAATCATGTTCCACCATTACAATGCCAATTCAAGAGCTTATAATAAAGCCACAGGAAAGCTATTCTATACTTCTATCCTCACTATCCTTTCACCTCATGCATCTCTTTTCCCTATCCCATGTCATGTCTAGAGAGATCTTATGGTGTCGCATCTTAAAGGATTTTGACCAAGAAGAAGAGAAATGACAAATGACATTAGAAAAGATGCCGTCATTCTCTTTTTACTGTTTACCTTTCCATTTCCCTCCCTTTCATTCCCACCGGTGAACCGGATAGATGAAAGGATGATGATGGATCCGAGAGAAGCGAGGTGACGAGGGAAATGTCATTCAAGAACTTCTATCACATACAAACTCAACAATAAAAGCTAAGATTTATTAGGATACAAATGTGAAATGGACAAGTCTATCCATCTAACCTCAAAAATCCTGAAGCAAGAGATGAAGAAAGATGAAAGAAAGTAAAAGAGCTCCAAAAGATGGATCCAGATGATAAAAATAGCTTTCCTGTTAACCATCAATCTTCAAATTTAGAATTGTAAACCAAAAGATATTAATAATGCCAGGAAGGAGAGTCTCTAAGATAGACCACATGCTGCACCTCTTTTCCTTATCCCAATTCCTGCGCTTACGAGAGGTTTACTGGGGGTTTGCTCAGCGTAGCTACGTTGGATTGTCAACCAACCAAGTCCAGCCACTTGCTAAAGGTGACTAAGCACTAGCAGTGGGGTTCACAACCGCTCCGCCCCCCCCCCCCACCCCCCCCCCACCCCCCCCCTCTTCCCCGTCCGTCCTGAGCATTTATTCTGGGGGTTGCTCAGCAAAAGCATGGTGCATGCCCTAAACTATGAAATCACCATAGCGAAAGCACTCGATGAGCTTCCACCGTGTCGTACTGTCATGCATCGCAAGGGCTTTAAGACTCACCTACAAGTGCCCTCCTGTCCGCTAACATGGAACCCGCCAGAAGGTCTCTCCTGAAGGAAAGTTGTTTTCTAGGACCCCTCAGTCAGGTTCCATGTTAGTGGTTGGAAGGGCAACGGATCGAAATTTATTCGATTCTTGTTGGTTTTGCTGTTGTTTGGTACGAGCAAATGCCTTTCAAATGGCGATGGATCTGTATTTGAACCGGCACACCCCAGATGCATCAGTCGCCGAGGTGCAACATCGACCCGAGCAAGCTGAGTGTGCCGGAGGTGTTCGCTCCGGTGAGCATCAAGCGCTTCATCGGCGGGTTGGGGAGCCCTGGAACCCTCTGGTAAGAAACAAAGCTCAGCCCGAGTCCTTTACATGGGACCGCTTTGGACTCAATCGTGGCTCGAATGGCCTCAAAGATCCATGGCTGAAAACACTATGAAAAGTGAGGAGTGGCCTGAAACCGGCCTATCCTGAAACCGGCCTATCCATGTGTTGTTGGTTTTTTAGATGGTTTTTGGGCTTCGTTTATGGTTTTATTTACTTATTTTAGATGGTTTTTAGAGGGTCTTTGGTTCATTTTCAGTGGGCGGCAAAAAACGCAGCCCATAGCCTCGGGGGTTGCAAAGAGTATTTGACCTTTGGTGAGTTCCCCAAACATGCTGAACCGCCAAAAGGGTTCTCTTGGGCGACCATGCGGGCCTCCCAATCTTCTGGTCGCAACTCAGACCTTCGGATCATGTCTTACTCGTATCTTCCTTTCTCGGAGGGGGGGGGCTCAGCTGTGATTTCAATTACTTCAAGCATGTCCGTAGAGCTAAGTGGAATTTTAAGACCAGCCAGTTCTGGGACGTACGGGGCTGTGGTGCGGAGTTTTGCGTAGGGGGCTTCCACGCTGAGGAAGTGGAAGAGGTGGTCACATGTTGTTGTTGTTTTTTGTGTTTTATCTTACTTATTGCCACTTATTGCTTCTTCTTCTTCTGGTTTTCTTTTTTGGTTTGGGGGGGGGGGCGGGAGGCGGTGGAGAGTGCTCGTGCCACAGATCCGAGGCGATTGATGCAAGATTGCCATACCTTTCCCTTGGGTTCTCTGCGCAAAAAATGTAGGGGTCATTTTGAGAGGGTCACTGGAACATGGGCCCAACTGACCTTGCGCCGCCTGAGCACTGGAGTATCAGAAGCAACCCCTGAACCAGGGGGTCCTATTTTGAGATTTGGCTTGACTCAAGCTTCAAACCCACGTGCTGTTGTTTGTTTTATGTGTGTTTGCTTGCTTGCTTGCTTGCTTGCTTGCTTGCTTGCTTGCTTGCTTGCTTGCTTGCTTGCTTGCTTGCTTGCTTGCTTGCTTGCTTGCTTGCTTGCTTGCTTGCTTGCTTGCTTGCTTGCTTGCTTGCTTGCTTGCTTGCTTGCTTGCTTGCTTGCTTGCTTGCTTGCTTGCTTGCTTGATTAGCTGTTTGTTTGATTGTTTCTTTGCTTGTTTGTTTGTTTGTTTGTTTGTTTGTTTGTTTGTTTGCTTGCTTGCTTTTAACTGTTCACATGCTTTCACCCATATAAGGTTCAGTCAACATGTTTTTTCTATGGTCAATTTGGCTGTGGGGAACTGTGCAAATGTCAACCACAAAGACTGGCCGATGTCCATACGGGGGAAATCCGTATTTTTTTAGAGCATGGCATGTGTCAAAGGCCCTCTTCAAACGGTAGTACTAGTACAATTTGGCCATGTGAAGCATCACCCTTTTTTTTCGACCAGGAGCAAACCACTTGTTTTTTCTCGGGGGGGTTGACTCATGTTTAGGTGGACAATATAAGAACCTTTGGTTGTGCACGCCGAGGTCCAACGAAGTGCTGTTTCCTCCACAGACCAAGTTCAGAGTAAAGGAGGACGCGGCTTGGTTCGTCGGTTCGTTTCGGCATGGAGAGGTTGGGTTTCTGGAGAATTCAGGCCAACTCTGGCGGGGTTCTGTTTACAGTTTTTGTGGAAACTGTTTTTGTTTGTTTGTTTGTTGTTGTTGTTTTTGGGTGGGAATATCAAAGAGCACTTGGGGTTGGACCATGGATGGTTCGCTTGGTTGGGGGGCTATTTGTACCAGCCCCAGCTTTGACGCGCCCAGAGCTTGCCCCTCAAGAGACTGATGCGGCTGAATGCTTGCCTTTTGATGGCCAGCCAAGCAGTTCAAAGAAGCGCAGGGACCTGCTGGCAGGAAGGGTTGACTTTTGGGGGAAACAAATTCTGCATGTGCCATTCCGCCAAACTTTTGTCGCCAGGAACAGTTTCTGTTTTTTGTGGCCAATATGCTCAAGAGATGCGTGGCCTGATATCATGACTCGCGAAGGCGAAAGACGTGCAGCGAGTCACGGAAAACGATGAGACCCGCGATGTGCACACGCGGGTGCTTGAAGCTTTGGCCTGAGCTGGCATACCTCTCAGCTTTCATGCCCAAGTTTCCCTTGCTGCCCTCTGAGGATGGTTGTTGAATGGGAAGGGGATGGAAGGGGTCATTCGGTGCCTCCGTAGGTCTTTCCGTCGGACGGGCCATCGGCCCTGCTGATTCTTGATGGGTTGTGGTAACGTTCCCAGGCATCCGGTTCCAAAGGTGTTTAGTGGCTTTTAGGTGGTTCAGTGGTTGGGTGTCCATTTAACCCACTAAGAGTTGAAAGCTTCTATCTGAAAGCGGCCAGCCCAGCTAAAATCATGATTGAATATGACTCGGGTGAGACGAAGTCTTCACACTTTGCCGAGAGTATCCGCTGTGCGAAGGCCCAGAGAAGCACAGTGGCGCTTGTCGTAACGCTCCCAGGCCTTTGTTGTAGGTTTTAAAAAGCCCTTGATAAGTAAACGCAAGGCAGCCTAGTATGCCGGTGTGTTCCTTGTATGTGGTTTATAGTGGCGTGCGGCCTACTAGAAACCCTCTTTGAAAACATTGCAGAGTTTCGAATGGCCAAATGGATGTTCCTGTCCCACTGCAGTTGATCTACAACCTGAGTTTGAGTGACTGATCAACCGCTGGAAGAAGCAGCTTCTCATCCGTTTAGTTGGCAAGGTGTTTACTGTGTGTTGATGGTAGAGTATTTTTATCATTTCAGGCAATGCCTGGCCGAGAGGGTCTCAAAATGGAAAGAATTATATAAGGACGCCAACAGAAAACCACCTATGTCTGGAAATGGGTGTGTCTTGTTTTAGCGGACCACCGAAATTGTGGTTTTCCTGTTGTTTTCATTGTCTACCATCAAAACAGCGGTACCCCAAAAAGACACTCAAATGGACCCCTATTTCGAGAAACTTGCATCTGTGCAGGTCAGGCTTTCCTCAATTCGCGCACTGCTTGTCTGAGGTGGTTGAGCTACCAGTTCCGCAGGACGCGACCTGAGTGCGCGATAGCGCGCACCAAAAGTCTGCTGTGTTGCTTTGAGTGCTGTGGTTGGTTTGAAGGGCAACCAACAGGAAGACCACAACTTTGGCGGGCCCAAAACCCTATTTTGACACAAACAATTGGCTGAAACATGGGACCTGTATGTTGTTGTATTTTTTGTTCCTGGTGTTGAATGGTAATTGGAATGGCTTTCCTTTTTGGGACATGCTGCCTTGACGGCCAGTGGGCTTTTGCCAAGAGGCAACAGCACCCAACGGCAGATGGGGGTTGGATAATGAGAAAAGCCCGGAAGCCGTAAAGCCAGGAATCCGATCAGGTTCATTTGAGTTACTCCCAGTCAACATACATCTGCGTATTTTATAGCGGGGGTGTAACGAGCTCAACATGATAAGGTCCTTTGCTTCGAGGAACTTCAATCCAACTTTTGGAATTATAGGAACATTTGCAGATGCATTCAATAACACTGAAGGTTGCTCAACAGGATGCCTTGTTTTGTTCACCCTATTGTGATCCTCTTGAAAGGGAAATGGAAAGGACGTGAGGGCATGTGAAACCCTTTCTCTTTGGACCAACCCTCATTTCTGGTATCGACAGCCACAGAGGCCGAGGCACAAGCAACTTGCAGTTCACGCCAGCCGACGTGTGGGGAAAGAGACGGCGATAGCGCTGTTCGCCGGACTAAGCTACTAACCCACTTGCTTTTGACTTTGACCGTCTAAGCATTTATTTGGAAAATGTGTGTTTCCTGACAAGCAACAAGTGATTGCCGCTACTTTTCAAAGGGACCTCGAGTTCCAAGAACTCAGTCTGGAGCCAATGTCCATGTGAGGTTCGGTCAACATGCTTTGTCTATGGTCAATTTGGCCGTGGGAACTCTACAAATGTCAACCACTAAGACTGGCCGCTGTCCATACGGGGGGAATCCGCAAGTTCAGAGGATGGCGCATGCATTTGTACAATGTGGCCATCTGAAGCATCACCCTTTCGCCCAGAAGGAAACCGCCTTTGTTTGTTTTTCCCCAACAGCTGAAAGCTTTGGGGTCTCAGCCCAGATAGGCTCCGGGGTGGTCTGGGGCGGCCCTGAGGTAAGGTTCCAGGAGGGTTCCAGGGTTGCACGAGGGTTCCACGAGGGCTGCGGGGTGGTGCGAGCACAAAAAGAGAACCGCATGCTGTTGGGGATATCACCTGAGCTTTTTTTTGGGGGGGTGGGGGTGACTCATGTTTAGGTGAACAATGTACGAACCTTTGGTTGCACGCTGAGGTCCAACGAGCTGCTGTTTCCCCCACAGACAGAGTTCAGAGGAAAGGAGGACACAGCTTCGTTCGTCGGTTCGTTGTCAGACGGAGAGGTTGGTTTCATGGAGAATTATGTTATCAGTCTTTGTGGGGTTCGGGGGTTTTGCAGTAGCCCAGAACTTGACCCTCAAGAGATTGCAGCTGAATGCTTGCCTTTTGACGACCAGCCAAGAGGCTACAGTTTAAAGAAGCGCAGGGACCTGCTGGTAGGAAGGGTTGACTAGGGGAAACAACAATTCTGCATGTGCCATTCCGCGAAGCTTTCGTGGCAAGCAACAGTTTCTTTTTTGTGGCCAATATGCTTTTGTGGCCAATATGCTTTTGTGGCCAATAAGCTTTGTGGCCAATATGCTTTTGTTTGTTTCTTTTTTTGTGGCCAATATACTCAAGAGATGTGTGATGTCGTGACTCGCGAAGGCAAAAGACGTGCACCGAGTCGCAAAAAGCGATGAGACCCGCGATGTGCACACGCGGGTGCTTGAAGCTTTGGCCTGAGCTGGCATACCTCTCGGCTTTCCATCCCCAAGTTTCCCTGGCTGCCCTCGGAGGATGGTTGTTGAATGGCAAGGAGATGGAAGGGGTCATTCGTTCATCGGCCCTGTTGATTCTTGATGGGTTGTGGTAGTCTTCTTTAACTTGGTGTTTTGTGGTTGGGTGTTCATTTAACCCACGAAAAGTTATAAATGTTTATCTGAAAGCGGACAGCCCATCTAAAACCATGTTTGACTGTGTTCCTTGTATGCGGTTTATAGTGGCGTGCGGCCTATTAGATACCCTCTTTGACACGCTGCAGAGTTTCGAATGGCCAAGTGGATGTTCCTGTCCCACTGCAGTTGATCTGCAACCTGAGTTTGAGAAACAGATCAACTGCCGGAAGAAACAGCTCCTCATTTGTTTAGCTGGCAAGGTGGAACCCGATCTGGTGGTTGTTCTTTTGGTTTCCCTCTAAGGCCACTAACAAAGCGGCACCCTTAGAAAGGACACACCCCTCAGGGATGTGAGCAGGTCAGGCTTACCTCCATTCGCGCACTGCTTGTCTGAGGTGGTTGAGCTACCAGTTCCGCGGGACGCGACCTGAGCGTGTGCAAAAATATGGGGAAACTTAAGAGGAAACCGCGGGTTTTGGCGAGCCCAAGTCCGAAGTTGTGAGGCAAAGTTTGAAGGACGGCCAGGAGGAAAGCCGCGATTTTGCGGCGGGTCCAAAGCCCTTTTTTGACACAAACCCATGGGACCGGTATGTGCTGAAGCTGGGGGTTAGTGTTGAATGGTCTTTTAGGATGTCTTTCCTTCTTGGAACCTTTTGGGACATGCTCCCTTTGGGGTTGACTCCCAGTGAGCTTCTGCCAAGAGGCAACAGCGCCCAAAGTTAGATGGGGGTTGGATGCTGAGAAAAGCCCGGAAACTCTAATGCCAAGGATCCGATCGAGTTCATTTAAGTTTACACCCAGTCAACACACATGCAATCCGTTTTTGCGAAAAAAATATGGGTTGCTCAACCGGATGCTTGTTTTGTTCACCCTGTTGTGATCCTCTTGACTGGGAAACGGAAAGAGCGTGAGGGCATGCGAAACCCTTTCTCTTTGGACCTTTGCACCAACCCTGATTTCTTGTATCGACGCCCACAGAGGCCGAGGCACAAGCAATTTGAAGTTCACGCCAGCCGAGGTGCCGGGAGAGAGACGGCGATAGCGCTGTTCGCCGGACTAAGCTATTAGCCGCCGCGCAAAAAAGGAACGGCGCCACTTTTGCACCAAACCACCCGCATCCGGTAGAAGAAGGTTGGCGGACAGTATCTAGCACGACCTTGTCCTTGGGTCTAGGTCCCCCAGTAGCGCCCTTTCACCCTTTTTTGGGGGAGAGTTCCCCTACTAGAATAGATTATAGAGCAAGAAAAAGAGTTGGTACCCTTATTCTAACCTCTCTGCTGGACCTAGAGGTGTTGCAACATGCAAAGACGCCTTAAGTCGTGGTGCCTACCTGGTCGGGGATCCGATTTTTTTTAGCTCGGTTTGGGACCAGGATCTCAATAGATCTGGATCGATCTCATGGACCTCTTATAGATATACTAAGATATCAACTTCAAAATCTACCCAACAATCTGTGAAAATATATCTACCAAGATATGCAAATTCATAAATATCTATATATACGCATTTGTGTTGTTGTTTTATTTCAGTCATTGAAATGTGTGTTCCATTTATACCATGCGTGCGTGATTTGTTTTGCTGGCACCCCTTTAGCGGGAAACCACAAGGACAATTCCTTTTGGCCTTTTGGAGGGCACCCTCGCTCCCACATAGGAGCTGTGGGGTACCTGAAAACTATTTTTTTTCTGGGAGGGACCGAGCCCCGGTCCAACTCACGCCATGGGAAAGATTGACCTGAGCTGTGGGGTGTTTTTTTTCTCCTCAGTCGATCCAATGGTAAAGTGTCTAAGCGGGGATATGTACATATATAGATATATAAATATGGGACGCCATGCATATTGTGTATTGGTTAGCCACTATACATAACCCCGGGTGTTTTTGGGCAAGTGAGAATCGGGGGTCAAGTTATCCTTATTGTTCGGAAAAACCTGCTCACACCCCCTCCCAGGAACGGTGACCGGAGCGATCCAACAATCTGTCGGGTTTGAAGAATCAGATCCAAGGACCCCCCCCTCCCCATCGGGGCAACCATGGAAGATGTGCGCTTCAGAACCGTTACATGCTGATTCTTGGAACCCAATTCAACCATGCCTTGATACCTTTACACCTTCAAGGGGATCCCGAAACGAGTCCTTCCCAGTTTGTTTATCCCTGATAGCCGGAACAGCAGCTTATAGTTTGCTGCCCCGTGGCTTCGGTGAATTCATTGGGATGAATCACTCTTGCAATTTGTGGAAATTATTGCCTAGGTCAAGCTACGTTGACCAGCATCCAAGCCTAACTGGGCGCCCCCCTTTCTTGAGCTACCATTCCGGGTTTCAGAGGGCTCCGGTTTATTGGTGAGGGTCCCCCTTTCAATCAAGCAAAACACTGTGCCCAGATCCCAGTTGCCTTTGTAGCCAGCCACTGTCCTTCAATCTTTGGTACCTCTATAGCAGGCAACCAACCATTGTCCCTCAAATAAAAGTTGGTCTCCTTGGTTGCCAACTATGCAGGTACACGGATCCGTGCAAAGGCAATTTTGACTTCATGCATTCTTGGTGTCGCCAATTTCAAGTTGCCAAGTTGGCCTGGGTGTGCGACTTTGGCTCAAGTGCGTCGACCTCCCAAAACTGTGCCGCACGGCCGCAAGAGTCGCCGCTTTCCGGCGTAAACATGTGTTCTGGAAGTAATTTCAGTGGCAAGCAAACTGGCTGTGGGTCAAAACCCAAGCAACCCCTGGTGAACATCAATATAGGTGGTACATGGGTGTGAATCCGCCCCAAAATGGCTCGGCATAGGTTATGAGCCATGGCCAACTGTGTACAGAGGCTCTGTGGCCCTGGGATTTTGAAGATCTGAATCAGGTAGAATTCCAATCGATTTTTCAATTTGAGGTGATGTTGACGCGAAATACCGCGGACGAGCAAAATCCATTTCGCACCACCGTTCAGAAACCCTGAAATGATGAGTCCCCAGTAAATACCAACAAACAATGGTTTGCCATGGTTTCAAAGAAATGCAGGATCTCGTCCATCCACAGTATGATGAAACGTCGCTCATGGGCTGACTTCCCACATGAACCTCACCCATGCATTTGGAGTGGGATTGGCCCTTGAACATCCCATGTCATCAAATGGAAAAAGCAAACGGGATGGCTGGAGAAAGAACGAATTTAGGATCCGAAATACATGAGCAAAGAGCAACTGAAGGGTTCATGGGTCTGCTGTCAAATCAGGCAGCAAACATGTTCTCCGTTTAATTGGTAAGCATTCTGAAACAGAAAAAAATGCCGGAAGTCCTGGCAAGAAATTCCCAAGCAAAGCGCAGAGCACATCGGTCTTACGTTCGAAGCAAACCAAAACAAGACACAAGTCCTGAAACAAGAAGAACATGGTTACCCTCAAAACACAACTCGAAGAAATCCCCATACCCTGCTTGCACAGAAGGCCCAACAAAGGAGGCGAGTTGCTTTGAAATAGGTATTCTCTCAGAAAGGGACGCTCGGCGGGCCCTGTTTTTCCAGTGTTTTTGGTGTCTGGCTTTTCCAGTCGATGAGCCTTCAATGGAACATATTCAGTAATGCATAGATGATATCATTGGCAGTCCCTGTGTTTGAACCTTGTCTTATTCCTATAAGTTTGTTTACATGCTGACCTATCTACCGGGTCCCATGTTGTTTAATCATATATAACTAGATGATAGTTTATTTCCGCAGATAGCTGAAAGCTATATGGGTCTTAACTTCTAACAAAGAGGGGAAAGTGACTTTTTCGAGATTGACGGCTGGGTCCTAGGCAGTCTGGAGTCTATGCTGGTGTATCGTTTTTTTTTTTTTTTTAATCATTTGACCGATAGTTCATAGCCTTCGGCCCTTGGCCTCGCCTTCAAGTGGCTGCACCCGGCGTCCAGCACGTCCGACTTCTTGGATTCGGTCGGTTGGGCGTGGCCAAAGCGGTTTTTCAGGAGTATGTCTTGTTTCCCGCCAACAGGTGGTGTTCCGAACGTGGGGTTTCCCTTACCACCCAAAACATCGCATCAACTCAAAAGCAGAGCCACCCAAAGGGAGCGAGTTGAGGAACCACATGTCCGGCTTGTCCACGAAGCCTGCGATAAGTCATCCACCTTTTGCTCCTTCGAGGCGGAGGGAGCCTTTTTCGGCTGAAGTACAAGTCGCTGGAAAGAACTGGCCAGTGGGACGCATCTCCATCTTTCCCTTTTGCTATCATTCCTCTAATTTCCACGATTCGAAAGTGGAAGGGAGGAATGATTAAGAGAAAGAGCCGTTCCTTGATCCCATGCAGGAGGGCGGACTTCAGAAACTAAACGGGAAAACCTTGATTTAGGTATGGGTCAAAGTAAACCCACCAGGGGACCGCAGGTTTTAGTCGTTGGTTCCATTTATCAGGGTGACCCACAGCCATTTGGGGGTCTTTGGGAGCCGCGGGGTGCGGGGTGCCCCATTTCCCCTCACCCCTCGGAATCAGCCGAGGTTCTCATGGCACGCGACACGCCGCGCTGGCGCGGGGCTGCGGTGTTTGTTTTTTGCTGGGGGGCGGGGCGTTGAGACTTGTGCAATAGTAATTCGGCTATTCTATGTGTTGCGAAAGGAGAACCTCCAAAATGTGGGTTTTAATGTAGGAGAGCCCCAAAAAGTGTGGGGTTCCTCTTGGTTTCCCCCGTTTAAGCCAAGGTGAAACAGGCACTGCCCGTTTCGAGCCATAGCAATGATATGGGAAAGTTATGGACACTGAGGTTGGTCTACTAGTCACTACTAGTAGGCTGCAACGCCTCGATAGCTTTGAAACAGTAGATGCTGGGTCTTCTTGCTGGTGCGATAGGTAGGGATTGACCTTCCGGGTGTTGTGAATGAACCTAGGTAACCCCTTAAAGAAATCCATAGGGGATGGGTGGGTCTTCGGAAAAGTTTTTGACTGGCTAGCCACCCAGGTCACAAGCCGTTGTCAACAAGCGCGTGTTTTTTTGTTTTTACCAAGGTGGCAAACCAAAGTACTAGCTTGGCCGAACGCCCGAGTGCGGTACGTGCGTTGGGTTTCTTTTCGATTCGATCGCAAAAGGAGATTTCTCGGCCAGCATTTTGGGGAAATGTTGTTCTTCACAAGTGGGTGGATATTCTATGCATCCGCGATTTTTCACGAGGTCTACAATTGGACCCCTAAATTGAGGAACCCCTCCAGCTCAGCATCCTGCTTCTCAAACAGAGATTTCGCGTCGATAAGGGCGAGAGGCGAGTCGGGTGTGGTTCAAAATTTTACAGAGCGAGTCGGGCAAACCGCAGGTTCTGGTCTTTCCATTTGCCAAGGCGCCCAGGTTTGGGGGATTTTGCGGGCGTTCCATTCTTTCGTTTGCCACAGCTCATTTTGAGTGCTCAGGATCTACCAAGTCACTTCTTCTCGCTTGGGTTCCCTTGAGGCCCCCTATGGACGGGTCGCAAGCGTCGCAAGTTTGTCGGACTGTAGTTCCACGGCCTGGGTCGCAGTTCTCTCCATGCTAGGGGACGGGAGGGTAAAAGAAACCGTTTGGTGAGACTTTTCTTGGAATTCACGTCCGCCCGGAGCGGAGGTTTCCTAGGCCAACTTCTCTCCCCGAAGCCACCCTCTGGTTTTCCCCCGAAGCCCTTGATTTGGGGCCTGTCATGTTTCAGGAAAATTCTTACCCTACATTCGGGAATCCCAAGGCGGGGTGGTCCAACGGGGGGTTCCTTAGCCCCTACGGACCCTAGGGAGTTCCGCAACCTGGAGTCTCCATGACCCTTAAGAAATGGGGTCATGGCCCAAAATGAGGTCATGGACCCATTATGAAGGGGTCATAGAGACTCCAGACACATGAAAATGGGAGCACTGGGAAAGCCGCACTGACCAACACGCAGGCTTGGGACGATCCCCAGCTTGGGCAGCCGGAGGCTGAGTGCAAGAAACGAGGCTGACAGGTTTCTCACGCCCGTAACCAAGGGCTCCCACCTTTGGACACCGTGAACACGATAGCTGGTTGTCCAACTCTGAGAATTTTCCCATAGGTCAATTTGAATTCGGGCAGTGTCGATCCATTGGCCGCTGCTTTTTGCGGCCATGATCGAGTTTCCGAACCGGATGAATCAGGTTGAAGTGGGCTTGTCTCCAAATGGGGAGCTTTGAAATGGGGGCTCTGCCTTCAAAAGCAACCCCAGGAACAACATCAGACAAGACAGCCCAACTTGACCGTGTTTCAGAGGAACAAAACACAAAACAGCAAACAACAAAAAAAGTCAATCTGTCTGGACAATTGGTGGCAACTTTGACCGCAGTTCCCAGTTCGACTTATCAACACCGATGACTGCCCAACAATTCGAATGGCTTTTGTCCAACGATTTCTATGGCCGTTTTCGCAGTTGGTTGCCGGAGATGGAGGTCGTCCTCAGGCGTTGTATCTCACTCTCGGAGGTCCTGGACGTTCAACCTTTTTTTTTTGGGGGGGGGACAAGTTGAGGGGCAAACAAACAAGTTTGGATTAGTTGGCCCGACTACTGGAGGACATAGGGTATTTTGAGGGTCCGGGTTTTTAATTCATCTTAGAGGTGTCTCCGAAATTTGGGATTCGCGAACTTCCAAAGATGCCGGAGTTCGGTGGATGTGAAATGCGGGGCGACATTGGTCGTACCCCTATCAAAACCCGGATCATGAAACATGCCATGCCTTTGTTTCTTGTTACACAAAACATGGTCAGACCCAAAGGGGGGGGGGTTGCTAGGATACATGCCGGGTCAAGTAAACAATCACCTTTACAAACGGTTTGGAGGTTTTCATTTACTTGGTATGTTTTTTGATGCGGGGGTGGATCAAACTTCCGGGCCCCCATGTCGTGGTTGACATATCATCCATCGGTTTCTCGCGGTGTCCAACCAATGGTCCCATGTTTCAGGACCCTTCGATCAACGCGCCAAGTCAACAATCACCTTTAACTACCAGGTGGGGTTTTGGATGTATAAGGAGCCCTACTTCCGCCACTCCCCACCATGAACGACCAGCGGGTTTGGAGGTAAAAACCTCACGCAGGTGATGTTGTTTTTTGGACGTGTCTTTGAAGGAGCCCTGCTAGGTCCCCTAGTAGTGCCCTGTTACCCTTTTTTGGGGGAGAGTTCCCCTACTAAAATAGACTACAGAAAAAAAAGTTGGTACCCTTATTCTAACCTCTCTACTGGAGGACCTACTTACCGATCGCCTACGAGTCTGACTCTCTTGGGCCACCCCCCTAGCCTTTTAGCTTTTTATTGTTTAGTGGGGATTTCCGATTTCCATGTAACCCACTAAAAGTTCAACTTTTAGCCGGGGATCTGAGGGCAGTCCAGTTAAGGAGCCCGTTTTTTGTTTTTTTTGTTTGTTTTCCTCGGGGTTCCCCAGCGACCAAAGCGGATGCTGAGACCTGTTGGGCCTCGAGGAGGTCTCTGGCTTCCAGGCGCGCCACGGGGTTCGGCTCGGATTCTGTGTCAGGGATCACTTCAACCCCCCCTCCCCCCCCCCCGAAACCATGGACACTTAAATGACGAGTTTGCAGACTCAACACCTGAAAAAACAAGTCCAACTCGAATTTCCGGTTTCGTTGGATTTTTGTCCGCGGATTTGGGCGGCGGGGGGGGGGGGGTGTGACTGAGCCCGGTTCCCATGTCGGATTGACTTGCTTAGCGCCAAGGCGGGGGACTTTGTGGATTACCACAGTGCCTCCGCATCCTGGATTCCAGCCAAGGTGGGTCAATCGCATGGGAGCCACGGATGAATAAACCTTAATTTTGTTAATAGGGGGTGTCTCCTGTTTTGGTGGTTTATCACTAGAGGGGAACCCCCTATCAATAGGACGGGTTCAAAAATCCGGGGTCAATGTTAGTCACTTGTTGCACGCCCTTTGCTCTTGGGAAAACCAGGGCCCCCAAACAAGCGGCAAGCATCGTCGCAGGTTTTGGCGCGGCGTGGTGACGGCTTGTACGACCTTGACTGCAAGACTGCGGTGCGCCGCTTCGGAACCTTACCGACCCCTCGACCCCTTCCGTGCGTCAAAATCGCGTCGCAATCGCGTCGGATGTCCTGAGGTGGAACCGACAAAAGTTCGGGCAGCCACTTTTGCGAAGCCAGAGTTTGAGGCCGGGATCCCAAGAATGTGACCTGCGATTTCGCAAGATGCCTACGGCAAATGTCCCGTTGTTCCTGCCGGTTTCCGAGAAACTGAATTGGAGCCCTGCTAAAAGTGGATGAGTTTTACTGGTTGCTTTGTCAACTCTCAAAAACCGAGCCTTGGGACCCGACTTTGTGACCCGACTTTGTGACCCGATCTGACGATCCAAGGTCGGCCAGGTTGTGGACTTTTACAGCGAGACGGGCCTCATCCTCGGTGAATCCGCATCGGCCGAGCCCAGAATTGTCAGTTCTCACCGAGAACAAACATAGAACGAGTAGATAACTGGGCGTTTGTTATCCATTCATTTTATGTAATGTTGACCCCAGATGAGAAACCCCATCCTATAAACAAGGGAGTGGTCCCCTTGAAAAGCGAACGGAACCAGTGGCACCCCTGAATTAGTCAACCAGGGGTTTATGAATCCGGGCTGCAACAGCACTTGTGCGACTTTCAAAAATGGTAACATCACGCGACTTGGTTCCTCAGGTGTTTGGCTTTAGGGTTTAGTGGCTGGGGTTCCATGAAGCAACAAGTTAAACTTTTAGGGGCTCAGAGTTGGCGTTTTTCGTCAAGGCCTGTGGCTCCCCGCGACTGTGACGAAGTACAACGCCGCGGCTGGTCGGCTTGCTCGGCACAGATGTCAAGTCCCAGCGAATCTGGGATCCTTTTGGGGGCTGCCCTTGCCGGATGGTTTTGAGGGGAAACCAAAAAGGGAACCCATTTTGGAGGTTCCAAGTTTGAGACACACCCAAAATGCTGACCCAAGGAGCTTGCACGCTGAGAATCCTGCCGCAAAGTATATAAGTGGCTGAACAACGAATTGGTTTCTCCGATCATAGCTATCCCAGTGGGTCCATTTACCTGTATAGTATGTAACCAAGGGAACCACCCTTTAACAGCCAAAAGGAGATGGCTGGTTGCCTACTAATTAAATGGGCAACTGGGATCCACTGGTTATGGTTTTGAAGTACCACAGTTATCCCAGTCCATTTGCCTGTAGGCTGGTTGCCTACTTGCCTGGTAGTGTCCGCCAGGTATGGGCAGGTCGGGGTGGACCAGCGAGAGGTTGGGAGCTTTGGGGATCTGGCGAGCGTGGCGAGGCACGTACGACCTGGACTGCAGATCCGCCGTTTTGCCCTCCAGGACACCCGCCTCGAGTGCGATTTCGGAATTTCTCGAAAGGGGATTTGGAGCCCCTTTGGTTGGGTGTGGGTCAAAAATAGGTACACAAAATGGAACCCTGTTAAATGGAAACAACGACCAAAACCTGCGGTCCCTGGTGGCTTAATTTTGACCCATACCCAGTTGGTATTGAAAGGGAAGCGAAAAGGAAACCAACCACTTCAGGGAACCTATTTTGAGAATCACCCATTTCCTTGGTGCATGTTGCTTGGAAGTTAGGACTGAATAACTTTTTGCCATCTACTGGGTTTTCCGAATTACACCACCAAAAGCTAGTCACGTTTAGCAGGGGAGCAGAAAGCAACCGAGTTTAGTTGGTATTGAAAGCGAAGCCCAGAGGAAACCAACCACTTCAGGGAGCCCATCTTGAGAGGCACCCATTTGCACGCCCGGGGGTCGTTTGCAAAAAAAAATAGGGTAGCGAATATATGAAACATACGCCTTTATGGCCATTTAGTATCGGATCTTGGGACTCAAACTAGTTTAGAGCAGTGAATTGTCCATTGTCCCCACCAAAAGTTGAAGTTGTCTTCGGTTACAACAGTCAATCTTCCCGTTGACCCCGCCAAAAGGTGGTTCACCTTTTTGCAGAAGGGGTCGTTACAGCAACCAAGACTTACAGGAGTTGTGGGTAGGGCCTTAGCCACCAGGTGAGAAAGAGTTGTTGTGAGAAGACTCAGCTTGAGATGCATGCTACACTCTGCAGCTCGCCCCAAGCTGTTCAGAGCCCACTCTGCGACTCCCGATTCCAGATGCTTCCTGTGTCAGGGTCCTCTGGTGGATTTTTTGGCCGAAACCCCGCAATGCTTGGAGAACATTGCTGGTGTCATTGCTGCCCCAAAAACTCTTCGGCGTCCAACCGGCAAACACTTGGCATGTAATTCACATATATGACGGGACATTGAGGGCCATATAGCGGTGTCGTTTGGCTAATGCTTCTGTGGATCCACTCCTGCCAAGTACGTGTCTTCTTCCAATGGGTCTGTCATTTTTGGGGGAACCCCTTTTGGGTTGGTGTTAAAAGGAGACCAAAGGGAAAACACTATGATTATTATTATTCTTCTTCTTCTTCTTCTTCTTGGGGGGGAAGGTGCAATTTTGAGAGACACCCAAATTGGGAACTCGAAAATGGGTATGTCGTTTTGGAGGGTACCAGGGTTGAGGTTGAAAGGGAAACCAAAGGAAACCGTTGCCATTTGTGGGTCCAACCTTAAAAAAGACGCTCCCAAACGGGCGTCTCCTTGGTTTCCCTTCAAAGAATTCCAACGCCAGCGGGTCCTGCAAAGCTCAAATCGTAGCGGGGTACGCTGAGCGCCACCCTCCCAAAACCATGCCAAAGGCCGGGGAAAAGAGAAAATAAGTTGTGTCAAAAGGGGTACCCTCACAAAAAGGACACACCCAAACACCATTCTCCAGGGTACCAAGGGACCGCCGATTTCTGGCTCGCAAGGATGCGCCAGCAGGCGCACACTCGTGTGCCAAGTCGGGATGATGACTTCAAGGCGGGAGTCTGCTGGGAGTTGGGGTCAGGCTTTGAGGGCCATCAAGGAACCCTTCCAAATGCGAAAAAATGGGTGGGGCGTCCTTGTTGTTTTTTCATGTTCAGCAAACCTGAAAGCCATACTCTCAAAAAAGAGACACAGAACCAAATATGGGTATGGGTCAAAAGAAAACCACCAGGGGACCGCAGGTCTTAGTCAATCTTTCCATTTACCAGGGTTCCATTTTGGGTACCTATTTTTGACCCACAGCCATACTGTCAAAAAAGACGCAGAACCTAATATGACAATACAGGGCTCCTTAAAAGATACATTTTGCAACCATTTGAAACATGTTGCTTTTTCAACACCAAAAGTTCAGGTGTACAATCGTTGACCTCGTGAGTTGAAGGGGGTGCATAGTTCGTGTTTTGCTGGTTCTCAGTAAGCTAGGTCCCCCAGCTAGGTGCCTTTTGTTTTTGTGGGAGGGTGTCCCTACTAAAATAGACTACAGAAGAAAAAAAAAAAGGTACCCTTATTCTAACCTCTCTACTGGAGAACCTAGTAAGGAATGACAGGGTTTTGGGAATGAACCCAGGGTTCCCCTTGAAGGAAACCACAAGGGATGCTTTATAGGGGTCATTCCCTCATTCCCTCATTCCCTTCTGAGAACCAGCAAGGTAAGTAGCCACTTGTTTTAAGTCCAGTTTGTGAACTTCAGACTGTTTGGAAGACCAATTTAGTCGTAATCAAGAATTGGACTTTTCCCACGAATCCATAGAAGGCGAGACCACGGTTATAACTCGCGTGGGAGGACTTACGATTGGACGGCAAGTAGGATGGAACCATGATTTGGAGCAGCTTGCCAAGTGTTTAAAGAGGGAGAGCACAAACAATGAGACTGTGTTCAGGAAGATGGCGCTGAGAGCGGGCTGGCGGAGGCACGGATTGGAGGAGAGTTGAAGAAGTAGCCCCTCAGCGGTACACCGACCTAAGCAGCACCCAAAACCCTCATCGGCCATTCTAGCAGGTGGTTCTACTATGTCTTCTGCCGGCTATGGCAAGGACATGCAAGGACATTTAAGGACTTGAAACATGTAGACCATGTTGGTAGAGCCAACAGTCACTGTTTGACATTGCTCACTGGGCTCAAGCTTCCTAGTGGTCTTTTGGCGATGTGGGCTCAGAGGTCGAAATTGGATTCCTTCTTCACCTTCAGAGGTGCGCATGTTGGTCCAAACTGTTTGCAGTGACAGCTCTTGAAAGACCGTCCGGATTGCAGACTCTTTCTCTTTTTGTGCTGGAAGCCGTTTTGCTCTTCTCTTTCATATTCCCTCCAGCAGATGTGTCCCCCCCACCACTGCGCCCCCAGAACTGGCTGGTTTTCTTGGTTTCCCCTCTTTCCCCAACCCAAACAAACAAGGGTGGCAATCTTCAAAAGAAGGACGCCACCATTTGGCCACACATGGGATCACTTGTTTCCACGAGAGCATCGATTCAAAACGTGGGGCAAACGATGGCCGTAAGTCCTCGACAGGAAGCCGGGGGCTCCTGCAGCAGCGTGTGCCGTCCTCACCCAGAGCAGGAGGGATTTTTGTTTCGACTTGACATGGAAGCCGATTCCCAGCCGTCCGGTTCCTTAGTTTCTTAGGGTTTCCATTTTGGGGTTGATCAAAAGATCCTGAAAACACGGGATGAACGGTGGTTGGAGAACCTCTAAACTGATCTGATACTTTCCACCCGGGAAACGCTATTCATGGTCATTTGGGACCGAAAGTTAAACTTTTGGCCGGGGATCTGAGGACAGCCCAGCAATGAGACAACAATTGTTCGGTTAAAAACTCACCCAGTGGATCCATTTGCCTGTGTAGTAACCACCCTTTAGAAGCCAAATGCAAAGTGGCTGGCCAAATGGAGCATGCTGGTTACCTGCTATGCTGGTAACTGGTATCCACTGGGTCAATTCCGGAGTTCCTGCACTTAATTCTTTTGGGGAAGACCACTTTGGCAAACAAGTGTCGAGTGTTTTGCAACCACTGGTGTGGAGCAGGACGCAGATTGGATAGGAATGAAGAGGCGAAGAGGGCTTCAACGGGAGAAAGCTTGGGCGGGGAGCTGTAGGGTTTCAACTGAAAGTTGCCGGGCGATGTCCTCAGGGTAAGTTTCCGCAGATGTGTGGCTCGTCTTTTTTTCTGGCACCCCCAAACTGTTGACTTTCCTGTTGGCTTCCAATTAAAAACCACATCAAGGGGGTCCGCCCAAAAAAGACGAGCCACCCATGTGGCACCGTGGGCACACCAGACATACCATGCGTGTCTCGAATTCTCTCTTTGCTTGCTTTTACAAGGATGAACGACGCGGCGTGACCGTATGCAGGTCCTGTTGGAAACAACAAAGTGATGTGCTGGGACATTTGCTCGTCGAACATGTCCTGTGAAGCTTGCCGACTTGCCAGGATGGTCCTTTGCAGCTCGTCCGGGTCACACGCGCGCAGCTCAAAGTGAAACAGAGTCCGGCTTTGGCATCGGCCGGGCCGGGTCTATTTTTGAGGGTACCCCTTTCGGGGTGAATTTAAAGGGAAGCCGAAGGGAAACGATCCTTTGGAGGGTTCTCACAAAAATTCAGCACATTGCCCCCGTTGGTTACGGGCGCGTCTAAGAATATGGCTACCTGTTCCTTGCAGATGGTTCAACCACGAAAACAACTTGGCTGCATCTCTAGAACACTTTTGGAAGCCAACCAAGATCCTTTAAGATTGGTCAGTTGAGCCATGAGGAACTCACAGCAACATAGTGGCTAAATATCATATCACTTCAGAATCCCAAGGCTTCCTTTGCGAGTCTCAAATCGCAGAAATCGCCTGAGCTGTTTCTCAAATTCGTGGTCCCATGTTAACTGGTGAGCCCTAAACTGGTTACCGTTGCCCTTGTCCCGTTAAAGAACCAACCAAAAGAGTGTTTGTGATTTTTAGAACATACGGTGGATGGACAAAATCCTCCACCCTGGACCGATTCGATTCCCCTGTAAATATCAACAAACGCTCTGGTTTCAACCATGGTTTCATTTCGTGGTGCGGTGCGAAATTTATTTCGCAACCATCCGCAGTATGTCTGCGTGGCTCACGATCCGAACTCCACCCCAGGGGCTTATGAGAAACACGGATATGCAGCCTACTCATATACCTTTCCTTTCTTTACTAGCGTCTTGCTGTGTCTCTTCATAATTTCATTTGCTATCTCTTTGCCAGTGTTTAAGAGAAACCCGAGAAATGCCCTTCACCAAGGACGAGGTGCTGGTTGGCACTTCGAGCTTTGTGAAGATGCCCTGAAGGCGAAGCGAAGCGCGAGCGCGCACTTGTAGGGGTTGCTTCCTTGTCCACGTTTTTCAACCATCGTTCTTTTCCAAAGCTAGATCCGTTTCCCCTGGGTTTTGATGGTTTCCTGAAAAGATTCGGATCCCTGGAAAGAATGGGGAAGGTACCACTAGAACACTATGAATGCTGGGCTGTGGCTGGGGCCTGGGTGTGTCAAGTTTTCAAGGGACCCCAGTTTGGTTGGTTTTAAAGGAAAAGCAGAAGGACACCAACCACTTTGGGATTTGTTTGATACAAACCCAGCTTGGAAAATTGTTGCAGCCCGATTATGGCCCCCTTAGGGAACCCCCAAAGCAGGTTCCCCCCCTTGGAGAAACCCCCCCCCAAACAAAAACAGGAGGCTCCCTTTAACAGCAGCAAAGGAGATTATTGAAACCAAGGATTGGGACTTACGGTTACCAACTGCTGGTCTGGATGGGGGATTTTCAGTGGCCATGTGTCCATCTGATATGGAGAAAGCCTGATCGTGGCTAGTCACTTCCCTTCGGAAATTGGGAACCAGGACTGAATCGGTTCCCTGAATCCTTTTTTCAGCTTCGGGGATCGGATCTCATTGCAACATTTTGCGTGTGTCAAATTTTGATGATCGGGTGACCGACAGGGCAAAGAAAGCAAATAAAAAAAAGACCTGTGCAGGTTGTGGCGCTAGGATTCCAGGATGCGCTATGATTCAAATTTATGTGTTTCTCAAAATGGCGGTCGTTTAGAACGATTGAACATGGTTAGTTTCCCAGATGTGTCCTGTTTGTTTCCCTTCCTACTACATCCTGTTAGTTCCCTTTAGCTACCAACTCCAAAAAGGAAGAGGGCGAATCGGAGCCTGTCTCCCCGAGCTTTTCCGGATTGACAGGCGCTGGAATCTCTTGGCCAACGATCTATATCGGTTTGTACAGCCGGCTTCTGAGCAAGATGACTTCCGAGATACCAGGGGTTGCCCTGGCCCCAAGGTCCTATTTGAGGGGCTCGTCTTTTTTTGAGGGTACCCTTTTTGTGGTGGGTTTAAAGGGACACCAAAGGGAAAGCCACCATTGTTTTGGAGGGGGGGGAGCCCACAAAACATGAGCGGGATGTGTCGCTGAGGCTGGTCGGAGCCCATGTCCACTTTTGCTCAGTTCAGTTCCCAGCTAGCATTGCCGCACTAAGGTTTGCGGGCCTTACCGTCCACTCCTGAGATGTCGTGATTTGCGGGCTAGAATTGAGGACCCCTCCCAGCACCCCCCCCCCCCCCCAAACTGTTTGTCCCATGGCCAAAATCCCAAGTACTGTCCAAAAAGCAGTGGTTGGGGGGTGCTGGCTCTGATGTTTTAACTTTCCGGTTTGGGGTGCAAAGCTCTCATAAGCTTGGGCCGGAGTCTTTGTGTGCACAACGTCCTTTGACAGGCCTTACTTGCTGGCACTCTGTGTTTGGTTCTTTCCTGTAGGGTATCGCAGGACTAGCCGCCTATGTAGAAGTCAGCATGCCTATGGCATGAGGCTGTCAAGACCCTCACAACTTCCCCAGTTTCCTTCTTGAAGACGACTCGGGAAGAAGAGTTTCTCCCATTTTGGCTGCCAGGCACTGGCAAGAGCTACTTGCTGAACCTGCTCCTGGGGTCTGCGCCCATATTTGAATTACTCAAAGGAGTGGGGGGGGGGGAGGGGGAGGTTTAGCCATCCGAAAGCCGAGCCAGGCGCGTCCAGAAGGGCTACAGTCGATTCCGCGCAGGTCTCAGTCAGCGAAAATGGAAACCAAACGTC